ATATTTGGTTTAATGGGACTTTTATGCCTATTTTTACCAAGTACGGCGGAACTGTGGAATATATTGTCGCCAGCAGTGTTTCCGGACAAATACGACCGAAAACCTTTAAAAAAAAAGAGCGTACTCCTTACTTAAAGATTGGCATCGCATTTGTGATACTTTTGAGGGCCAATCGCCTAACGGGATTGCTATGGCTGCCGCTATCGCTTACGATTTCATTTTGTTAATTCTGACCATCGAAGTATATTTCAAATGCTTCGCGCTCATTTTTTTTTCTTGGTTTATTTATTTGGTTATAACAACATTAAAGAAAATGATGAGCGTGAGGTATTTTAAAATAACAAAATGAAGTCGTATGTGATAGCGGCAGCCATAGTTATCCCTTTAGGCGATTGATCCCCTGGTGTTGCTGATGTCTATGGGCGATGGTGATCACCTACCATTAGGTGAGCCGTCTGCTCGTATGCCCCCTATATTGAAACAAAAAATAATGACAACAATCATTCTATATTCACAGCACATACTCTTTACATAAAATACACTTAGTCCGTGGAAGTTGCTTAACCATTACGACGATTTTTGACGACCTCCGTGGCTGAGTGGTTCGTACGCCGGGTTTCATGGTGTCGCCGACTCGAGAGGTCCCGGGTTCGAATCCCGGTGGGGGCGGATGTTTGTGTAATGAATACGAGCATTTGTACTCCAGTCATGGATGTTTGATATGTATTTCTATAAAAATATACTTATATATGTACAGCATAATGTATTCTATCCGTTACGCTAGTACATATCCCATAACACAAGCCTTACTTTGGGGCTAGGCTAATTGGTGTGTGTTGAAAATATTTATTTATTATTATTTATTACGTTTACGTCACGGCATATTAATAAATATTAATCGTCATTACCATCCGATGGACGTCCACTGCTGGACATAAACCTCCTTTGGGGACTTTACATACTTTCATTATTGCGCTTTCCGCCTCCCGTGGCTCCCCGTAACTCGTTTGAGGTTGTTAGTTCACCTAGTGGAGGGGTCTACTGACACTGACAGATCGGCAATATACTAGATGGCAATGTTGTTGTTGTTTAGGCAGTTGTCTCACCACCGGCAGCGACTATCGGCTATTTTTTCGCTCAAGAAACGTAAATTGGATTATGTACTTTTTTTGTAAACAAACGAGTAACTACAGAACACAGAAATACACTCGGCGTCGCAAAAAAAAGCACCTCCGCGAAAATAACGTTTCAGTCATATTTTCAATTATTTTTTTATTGGAACAGTGCAAAAAACCAATAAGGTGTACAAAACAATAAATATCCTTAATTAAAAACAGATAAATAACTTATATAAATACAAATAGCTTCTTAAAACTAACCTAAAATCTAGCCCTTGTGTGTGAAACTTTTGTTTTCAATATCTTCTATATATATAAAACTCAAAGGTGACTGACTGACTGATAGACTGACATAGTGATCTATCAACGCACAGCCCAAACCACTGGACGGATCGGGCTGAAATTTGGCAAGCAGGTAGATGTTATAACTTAGGCATCCGCTAAAAAAGGATTTTGATCAATTCTACCCCCAAGGGGATAAAATAGGGAATGAAAGTTTGTATGAAACTTTGTCAATTTTCAACCGATCGGGCTGAGACTTTGCAGGCAGGTATAAGAAGAATCATAGATGAATGTCATTGTGTATAATTCAAGCCTGAGAACAAAAACTGTAGTCTACACTTCAGCTCTACACCGAAGCGAAGCGAGGCCGCTAGTTATTTATAATTCCTTTCTCTGTAGCATGAGCACCACAGTTTACATTATATCACGTCAAACTGTCAAACTCCATAGTAATTTGACAATTGAGTGTAATCAAAACGAGCATATCACTGTGCTCACGCTAGGCGGGTTGTAGTTGTGAAAAGGCTAACTTAAAAATATTTGGAAGGATTTACAGAAGTTTTTTTTTTTCAAGATTCAGCTCTACATGATTGCCTGGAAATAAAAACAGAAGCGACTATATTTACATAACACTGTGTCGTTCCTAAATATACTATGTTAACAGTATCAATTAAGTGTTTCATACATATGTTCACATACAAGAAATTATTAATAACACGTTGGTTACATCGATCAGCGAAGGTCGTTGATCCCAAGCACTTTAATACTTCAGTTAATTGACCTTTATTTAACCGAAGAGTGTTTATCAGATTTTTATTTTGTTTGCCTATTGATAGCTCGGTAGGAACTTTGAGTGTGTAAATGTTGTTATTCTGAAAATAATATTTGTTATTTTCATATATATGTAATTTTATATGATTTAGTGACGTCAATTGATGTTGTTACATGGATGCTTAACATTTCAAGGTTTCACTAAAATCCAATATGAATCATAAATACGTTATTGAGAAACGAATGACTCAATTTATTCAGCTAGCAAAACAGGAAAAGTTTTCGAAAAATTTAAATTTCTCCAACTAACCTGGAACATTGTCTCGCCAAGTAAAATATTCAAAGCTGATTAAGAAAATTTCTGATGTAATGAGATGTTGTTGCTGGTTAAGTAAAATGTTCAAACATCTCATTCTGTAAATGTTTGCGACACAAGCAAGACAGGTCGATGGCAAACTAGCTTTTATCACGTTCAGTCTGCGATTCTAGAAATTCAGTAACTTTTTATAAAATTTATTATATCGAGCTCGGTAGACCAACTGCAGTTGTTAGCACCCATCAATCCGTACTGACCCTTGTGGTAAGAAGTGGCCATTTCACTTAATTCCGTCCAAAGGGAAGGCTTGTGCCCAACAGAGGCGTCTCTAGCCTGCAGCGTCCGCGTGCAATTTCCCTGTGAACCGTAAACAGGAGAATAACCGGATTTATTAGGTTAATTTCCCAGGTTGGATAGCGTAATCTGCTGTGACTTATATTTCAAAAATAAAGCGTGTGTCGTCGTCTCTGGAGGCGGCTGTGTAGGTTAAAGTGAGAGAAGAGGAGCCTGCCTACCGCTGCCGTATGCGTGAGAGAAAGGGAAGCCAGCCAAACTGGTGCCGTAACGCGTTACGTAACGAAGCGGTTTACGCTCCTATAAGAAGTTATCACTTCCGAATTCGGCTTTACCTATGCTTTATACGTTGCACACGGGCGCAGCGGTCTTGGGGAGCGCGGAATGTCACTCACCACCTTTACATTGGGACCGCGTTAGTGTTGCCAGATGCTGGCTTATCAATTCCGAGATATCTCCCCCTCTCCCCCCCAGAAATAAAACATCACATCAAACTATAGGTCAGTATTGAATGCCTTTATTTGGCATGCTTCTGTCGCCCCTCGCAGGCGTGGGTATAGTAATATAATGAGAAAACTGATGTTTGGGGATTCCGGGACAATAAGGTCTAATTACAGGACACGGGAGAAGACGTAAAAAAAGGATTTCCCGGCCGTCTGGCAACCATAGACAGCGCGCTTACGAGAGGTTAATGATCGCAAACACTAAACACGGAAAGAAGTTAGATTGTTCTTGTGGACGGAGGGAGGCAGTCGCGCCGCAGTAATGTGTCAGCAAATGCTTATAACTTGACCAAAACTTAGTTCTGATTGCGTTATTTCTCTCTGGTGTGAGCGCTGATTGGTGCGATTATTGGATGTCGCGTCGTTTGGTTGGCCATTATCTATGAGGTGGAAGTGTAGTGGGAGCGAGCCGGCGACATCGGTTCCCGTACAAACGGTCTATGAGCAACCCTTCTAATGTCTTTCTGTGTTCTGTAAACGCACACGAGCGCTACAAGGGCTAGAGGCTGCTTCTAAACATTAGTGGTAAGCGGCGCTATCCTGCAGTACGTATGATTACCGCTTTATCAACAAATGCAAGAGTAGCCTGCCACTGTCATGCCACGACCTTGGTTCTACTACGGACACGCGAGTCGTGCGTTTTTTCACACATGTTCTTTATCACAATAAAGTTATGCGAGTCACTGACTGATTAATTTATCATCACAATATGTATATCAGTCTGTGTGCTTTCCTTTTTTTATTATAAGTGTAGCTTGACTTTTGTTAGAGAAGGTCATAGCGAAAGACTGAGGTTAAATTGTCGTAGTCCACGACTTTCTAGCTTTTATGTTTGTGTTATGATTTATTACTAGCGACGCCAGGCCATCGCCAAAGGAGAAATTGAGCTATGTTGACATTTCAATTCAGAAACACCAACCCGAAATCCGGTTTTGGTGGATTTTGAAAATAATCTGTTTTATTTAAACCATGTCATGATCATAACGAACACAAGAAGTGGACAGTGGGGTTTGTTTCGAAATTTGACGTCAGCAGTTGGCACCACTGTGGCGTGAGGTCTTTTGTATGAAGTTTTTGGCGTAAACATTTTAATTGATCCATAGGCTATTTTTTTCAAATACGTCGACATAAGCGATTTGACGGATGAGTAAAGCTTTCGGCTCCACGTGGCACCCGTCATTCCTGAACACCTTCATTAAACATTTGGTATTATATAGATATTTGGAAATAATTAGCTTGCAAACAATATTATCCTTTTGCTGTCTAATTACAATATCCATAGAATCAGTTGACACGACACAAAAACATTTAATTTAGTTGACGTCTCATAAGTGGGGCCTGGTTTCATCTGTAATTTTAAGAAATAAATGCTTGAAAAATTAAAATTTTTAATATCGCATCTAATACAAGCTTTAAGGTACAAGTCCGAACTGAACCGCAGACTACAGGCCGCAGCTGCAGACTGCAGGCGACACTACTAGTTTTTATGAATCTCTTATGAAATTGATTCCGAGCGCGGCGACATGCCGCGACTGCACAATGCGTATAATGCACGGTCAGCCGCAGTGTCGCCTGCGGTTGTCGCCTGCAGCCCATTGCGGAATTGTACCTTTAGTACCTTTAGAAACAATCATGACTTTGTACACCTTCCCTTTCATAAGCGTCACTGAATTGGCCCTAGTGATAAATTTCTCAAATAAATTAATTTGCTTTCAGATCGCATTCGGTTTGGCTGTGGCGGAAGAAGGGTTTCAATTCGAGCATCGCGATTTGCACTGGGGGAACGTGCTGATATCACCGACTGATCAGAAGGTGCGTATGAGAGGTAGCGTTAATGGCTGGAAAAAAACGACTGGTTGCACTCCGGGAGTGCCGGCAGAAATGAAAACTTGAACGTTGTGCATTTTTGATATTTTGGAATGGTTGGGGAATAATTTTGCACGAATTCCTTTAAATATCAGGATAAAAGTACTTTATGTGGTAGAATACAATATTTATTTATTGCGCTATCGTACACAAACATGACAATTTATATTACATTAAAAAGTTTATCTCTCAGAAAAATCAACTTACATGAATCACATTTAAGCGCACCCAGCGACATCTATTGTAAAAAAAATGCATTTCTTCGCAATAAAGCTGCTACCTGGACGTCCTAATTATAGTCTATCCACATTGGGTGGGACAAAATGTAAACAAACCATAAAAAGGATACTTTTTGAGGTCAAGTTTGACAAAAGTAAAAATTAAATACTATTTACATAGGAAATGCAGCGCAACAGTAAGCTAATTATTTTAAACGCTGGTACATACATATGAATAAGAAAATAAAATATTTTACACATATTTAGCATACATACACATCATAAATTTGTATAATTTGCTGATAAAAGTATTTTAACAACTTAAGTTGACTTATGGAAAAAGACCTAAAAACACAATCATTCCCAAACTAAAGACGTATTATAAATCGGTAAAATTAAAGAGTAGACATCATATAAGTATTTTACATTGAAGTGTTGTGTTTTGCAATCGGTTGTTTTACGTCAGCCATCTTTGCTCTCCCGATCAACCTGTTGACGCGGGCGTGCAATTATATCTTATTTGTTAAATTCTTGTTATTTCCTTGTTTTATTTGTTGAGTTTGTTGTTATTTTTTTACTGATAAGTTTCGAGTTGTTAATAAATTATAGGTTACATAAATATACCTAAACATTGATTATAGTAGGTAGTTTCTGATATTTAAAAATTTTAGAACCTCAGATGCTTTGGTTACATTTTGTCTCACGACAAAGTGAATAGACTATAGAGACTTTTATATAACAATAAAATAAAGCATTGCTATGTTTCGCCCAATATATTGAAAGTCGACAACCTTTCCAATATTATTGTTTCCGTCTTACAAACACGTGTCCTGGCGCAAGTTAAATATTTTTTAAAAATTACAAAAAAAGCTTACTACGCCGCTAAAGAAGTTTTCATTTCAAAAATATTAGTTAAAAGTTGCAATAAAAATATCAGATAATTTTAATGGTTGTAAGTATCAGTTGATATTTTTATTCAAACACTAACTTAACTAATTTAATTAAACACTATTTTTATTTTTCACAAATTGGTTTAAAATATTATAATATAATATTTTTATTAGTTTGGCCTGTGATTGAAAATATTAATTATGATATTTTTATCAGTCGGTTACATTTATCTATATGAATTAATATTAATCTCGCGTTAAAATCAAAATGAAGTGAATATTTTTATTCGATATCGTCGAAATTTTTTATTGAATATTATGTCAATTATTTTTATTAGTTTGCTTTAATGGTTGATAAATACATTCAACAACAATAGGGTGTATACAGAGTTATTGATATAATAATTTTCTTAATTTTTTGATAAGATAAGATCTAGTAAACTTTTCTTTAGATTTAAACATCTAGCAGTTAAATGCTAAAAAAAAATCATAAAGATAAAACATACTAGGTCCATATTTATGTAAGTCCCCACTATTAATTTCAAATGTAAATGTTATTGTTTTGGGTAATTATAAATACTGGAAATACCCGAGGGATTCCGATTTCCCATTTATTTGTGGGAAATACAAAATAAGTTGATAACATTGTTTTACAGAACATTAGTAGCCGGATAACATTAATTTATAGTGTTGTAATTCTTGTTTACTTTGCGATTAAAACGTCTACTAAAATATCATGTTCAAATTAGTTTGTGATGTACGACCTCCGTGTCCGAGTGGTTTGTATGCCGGGTTTCATGGTGTCGCCGTCTCGAGAGGCCCCGGTTTCGAATCCCGGTGGGGGCAGATGTTTGTATGATGAATACGAGCATTTGTACTCTAGTCATGGATGTTTAATATGTACTTCTATATAAATATACTTATATATGTACTGTTTAAGTATTCTATCCGTTACCCTAGTATCCCATAACACAAGCCTTACAGTGCTTACTTTGGGGCTAGAATAAGTGTTGATAATATTGATTATTATTTATTTATTTATATTGATTTACTGGAGGATTATCCTGAGCTTTTTATGGGAAATTCAAAGTAGGTTCTCTTGCTCCCACTAGCAAGCTGTAGTAACTATACAACCACCTAATATTTTACTTAAGAGTATTCCATAAACACATACATATACAGTCAAAAACGAATATAACGACATTGTATAAAACGACGTGGCGGTTATCACGACCATTAGGCAAGGTCCCGACCGAAACCCTATATAAACCCCTACGTAAACAAACCGCCTGTAGCAACATCGAATATAGTGAAATATCGCTTAAAACGACTTATAACCAATACCTTATAAAAAATTGACAAAGTTCATATCAATATTCATTGGCTATAACGACCAAACGTTTTACTTTTGCCAGCAAAACAAAACATACTGTAGGTACTTTACATTTTTTCGTAGTAAACTTATTATTTCTTTTTTCCGAATTTTTTAGAAAACAAGCTTATAGTCATTGTCTATAACCATACTCCAATATGACAATAATATGACTACTTGTGTATATTTTGCTTATAACAACTATCGGACATAACGTCCGAAATAGGGATGATGACTAATTTTTTTCTCTTCGTTTATCAGGAAGATTACCAAAAAGTATTGGACACGTATTTTTCTTTTTTCACATAATATAAACATTGCAGAGATATATTGATTTGAAAAGTCGCATGACATCACGTTTGAGTACACTTATAAGTGAAAATTCACTCAAAAGTGACGTCACGAGCCCCTACTCCCAAACATTGACGCGCTATAACTTTGTCATTTTTTGGTTGATTGCCCAAAGAAAAAATACGTGTCCATTATTTTTTGATCATCTAACTGACGGACTAAATAGAATTTCGTTTACTGTACCCCGTCATCACCCCTATTATATGGTCCCTTCAATGTCGTTAGGGGCCGTTCAAGTATTACGTAAGCACTATAGGGGGGCAGGGGGGTCTTTGCTTTGCTCATTTTTGATGACATGGGGGGGTAGGGGGTCGAAATAGTGAATACGTCAGCATCATAGATTCGGGTGTCATTGACTGAAGACCTTAGAGCTAAGCTGAAGACTGTTAATTGGAATTAATATGTATACCAAAAATTTGAAAGAAGTTTATTTTGTTCGTAATAGTACTTAATATGATTATAATATTTGTACCTTACTCTTTGTTGAATAATGTGTCAATAAAGTTTGTTTAAATGAATACTATGTGCGTTAAAGTCCTCTATCTTAAGCCTATTTAAGTACTGCTGCTCATGAAGCTCATGAAAGCTTATGAACGAATAAAAAAAAACAGAAAACATTAAAGTAAAAATGCATATAGAGGTACCAATGTTTACGTAAGCACGGGAGGGGGGGTAAGAGCTTTGCTAACTTTTGCTGACAAGGGGGAGGACGGGGTAAATAATTGTAGTAAAGCTGCTTACGTAATACTTGAACGGCCCCTTATATCCGGTTTCGACTGTAGCTATATCTCTTATCTATTAGACAAGTCCGTCCGTCCGTCCGTCCGTCCGTCTGTGGTGCTGTTTCAGCGGCCAAACCGTAAGAGATAGATAAAGAGAATGTTTATGTTATAAGTTAAGAATAGTCTGATAAGACTACAAACCGGATTTGAGTAACGTAGCACTTCCGGTTTTCGAGAAATCACGAATTTCCAACGAAACCACACAAAATCTCCAAAGTTCTCAATTAATTAAATACATTTTTTTTTTGGTGAACATTTGGTTCACTGGTTTGCTAGTATGACAATAATATGTCTACTTGTGTATATAGCTTATAACAACTATCGGACATAACGTCCGAGATTATATGGTCCCTTCGATGTCGTGATATCCGGTTTCGACTGTAGCTATATTATGAATAATTTGCCATTCAGTTCGCTGTATTCGTTCTCCGCGGTCGCGCGCACCGCGTGGCGCGCTGCGGGGTGAAGGGCACAGTGATCGACTACTCCCTGTCGCGGCTCTCGCTGCCATTAGCGGGCTGTGGCGATACCGCGGCCCTGTACAACGACCTCGCGTCCGACGAGTCGTTGTTCGATGCCGTCGGCGATCGCCAGTTCGACGTGTACCGACTGATGAGGGATAAACTGGGGTGAGTCTGTTGTGAAGAGGTGCTTCGATGGCGCAGGTGCTTAAGCAACGTTCGCAGTGGTCCCTGATTGGATGGGTGGCCGAAAATCTTCTCTCGTGTTTTTTTTTTCCTATTTTTTTTTTATGTTATAGGGGGCATACGAGCAGACGGCTCACCTGATGGTAAGTGATCACCGTCGCCCATGGACACTTGCAACACCAGGAGTATCACAAATGCGATGCCGGCCTTTAAGGAAGGAGTACGCTCTTTTTTTGAAGGCTCTTGGGTCGTATTGGTCCGGAGACACTGCTGGCGACAACATATTCCACAGTTTTGTCATACGTGGTAAAAAATTTCGACAAAAACGCACGGTTGTGGATAGCCACGCATCAAGATGATGGGGATGAAATCCTATATCTATATGGCTTCGCACGGTTTGTGTATTTAGCCAATGTCAAGTGTAAAATGTTTACATATTCTATAGCACTCGTGGTCATAATATTAGTCAAGTCAATCCCCCTTTCCCTATGTTTCAGTAAATGTGTAGGGATTTACTGGAACCTCCTCGTGGACTTCTTGAGGGAACGTCGAAAGACACTTTCCGCTATTTTGTTTCACTTTCCAACACTTGTGCATGTTTTCGAACGCTTAGTGGTTAATAATCCACCATTATTAGACACTGACATCCGCCACAACACAATTTTTAACTAGAAAAACAAAGCTGCTAAAGTGACGCTTCCCGATCCCGCCAAAAGGAGCTATCTCGTGTTACTCAGTGCTTTGGAAGGCACGTTAAGCCGTTGGTCGCGGCTGCATCTGCAGTCGTTAGCACCCGCAAATCGGCACTGGGCTCGCGTGGTGGGTCATAGCTAGCGTTGCCAGGTCCAATTTTTTTTTAAATCGGTACATGAGGTCAAAAATATCGGGATTTAGGGTTGCAGATCGGGACAGTAAAACAAAAAACAAGGTGTTTTAAGTCTGGGTTTAATTTATTGCCTTTTAAACTACTAGTGCAAGTACAGTATTATATTAATTACCTAAATTTCATTTTTTGATTAATCGGGACATTTATCGTCCCCAGACCCCTGAAAATCGGGACACCTGGCAACACTAGTTATAGCCCAATCTCCCTATTCCATCCATAGGGAAGGCCTGTGCCCCAGCAGTGGGGACATTAATTGGCTGATAATGATGAGTCTCTTGTACCAACGTACACACATAAAAAATTCTAATGCCGCCTAAAGTCATGCTCTACGGTTGGCCCGGCCGCTCGCTAATAGCAATTTGCTCAGATAAATCTGTGATCACGTGACCAATAATCCGTCGCCCCTATGATGCAAATACCAAATGCAGCCAATGTGTGCGTGTGTAGCGACGAGCGTATCTACCATATGTAGTAGATAATTTTTGTGCCGCTTCCGTGCAGTCAATACGGTATCTAGGCGTGTATATAATCAAAGATGTACTGTCTGTAATCTATTTAGGGTAACGGAACTAGTACTGAAGAAAGCTCAGCTCGACTGTCATTGTAGTATTTCCGTTACACTGGACAATGAAAAGCCTTTTTCCCGTGTGACTAAGTTTTCCATCCTTGTCTTTTGTAAACAATGATGTAATAAATTCAATAGTTAATTGACAGCTGGCTTGCACAATATATTGTTAGTTTTTTTAGGAATCCTTAAATTTTCCCTGGGGTAAAATATTGTGTGCCAAATTTCATCCGAATCCGTTCAGCCTTTTTGCGTGTTTCAGTAACACACACAATAGGATATCTTTGAACAAGACTTCATTTGCTGTCAATTGGATTTTTTTGCTCGAGGAGCTCGATGGATCGGTTGGTTAGCGCGTTTCAGCTGCGATCGTTGAAGTTAAGCAACTTTTGCAGTAGTCAGTCATTGGATGGGTAACCAAAAATCTTCTATCTCGAGTTCCTCCGTGCTTCGGAAGGCACGTTAAGCCGTTGGTCCCGGCTGCATCTGCATTCGTTAGCACCCGCCAATCCGCACTGGGCCCGCGTGGTGGGTCATGGCCCAATCTCCCTATTCCATCCATACGGAAGGCCTGTGCCTCAGCAGTGAGGACATTGATAGGCTGATGATGATGATGATTCTTTTTTACTAACAAAATTTTTTTGTTCACAGGAATGACTGGAAGAATTTCGAGCCATACACTAACGTACTGTGGCTGCATTACACTGTCGATAAAATGATAACGGCCCTCCGCTACAAGAGGACCAATACTAAGATACACAAGCACTACATTGCAAAACTGAAGGGGATCAAGAACAGAATACTAGACTACGGCAGCGTAACCCACTTTGTACTAACTGACAACGAATTTTGAACGAACAAACTATGTTATATTATAGTCATTATATTAAAAGATAATCTTACATCAAAATTTTAATCAAATGTAATAATTTTAATCAAAATAACATTGAACTCGTCATTTGTTAGGATAACTTCACAATGTACACTTTAAATACACTAGAGAACATTTGCTGTTGTTGTAGACACAACTCTTTATTGACATTGAAATACATAAATTATGATAATGTATATATTATGGTGAACTGTTGCTTTGATAAATTAGTTAAAGTTTTAGACGCTAAAAGGATTATTTACAATATAGTTGTCGCATTAGAGCAGTATCAGTTTAAAGGTGCCTTTTTAGACAAGGTAGTGCCTTCGTTCAGGTTACTAATAAATTCATATAATGTATTCAATAAGCTTGTTTTATTTTAAACTAGCGGCCGCCCGCGACTCGGACGCGTGGAGTTCGTTAGAAATAAAGGTTCACTGCTCGTTCCCCATAGGTGATAGCGTGATAATATGTAGCCTATATGTTGACCCGACAAGTAAATCCATGCAGTACTTTTTGAGTTTATTCCGGACATACATACAGAACGACAACAATTTTAAAAACTATATTTTTGGCTTTGGTATCGATAGTAGATCACACCCCAAGTATTCTTTTAAAAAAATATTCAATGCACCTACAGTTTTGACTCCATTTTATTATATGTATACATTCCGCTCAAATCTAGACTGATTTCTGGAGTCAACTGAATTAAGATTGGACGTTAATTAAATTTAGATTTTCATTATTTATTATTGAGTCAGATAATTACAGCATCAGCTTTTAAGCCTAACTTTGACGTCTCTGTGCCTTTCGGATTCACCCTTTCACCTGCAAAAAAGCCCTCGTAAGAATTCAAGAACAAAGAATGTAGGTATCGTTACCGAACTATTGGTGAACTGAAAATTCAGTTGCACACTATTGATTGCTTTAAAAATTCCAATACTCTCGCTCTCTGTACCGTTAGGCGCTTTGCAGACGGCGGGGCGGAGCGGGCCGGTCAATTTCGCCACGAATGGTAGCACAAAGTGAATCCTATACTTCGAACGCACACAGAGGGCAAAAAGACCGCGCCGCAGGTGCCCGGTGGCCAGTGGCGGCGCGGCATGTCCGCGGCTGCCCGCCGTGGATCATACAAACCAGTTTATATGCAGTAACGCAGACGGCGGCGCGGGGCGGTCAGCTCAGTCCGCACCACGCGCTTTTTAGTGATGGACTATTCACTAGAACGAGCGTCCTGAACTGACTGCCTCTGCCCGTCGTGTGCTTTGTGTACGCGGCGAGGGCAGCCGCAGACACGCGGTTTTTATTGCTTCGCGGACAAAACGCCCGCCCCGCCCCGTCGTCTGCAAAGGGCCTTATAGTGCGATTACACTTTGTCGTTAGACCGAATATGAGTCCCAATGAAATTGGGTAAACGACTAAGGCCCGTATTATAACAATATTCTCAGTAATTAATCTAATCTTGAGCATAGTTAGAAAGGGATGTCGCTATATATAGCACATAGCGACATTCCTTTCTAACTACTCAAATAAAGATCAACACTTAGTTGTCATTCTGTAATACGGGCCTAAGTGTAAATGAACGGAGTCAAGTTCCGAAGCTTGGGTTGAAGTACCTCTTTGTCCTTATTGAGTTTTCTGGCGCTGCAATCTATTGAATCGAAAGTAACTAGCTGGTGTTATAAAGAAACGGGGGATGACCCCCCATGCACGGGCTTAATGGATTGGCTTCTTACGACTGCAGTTTTTTTATGTTCGTGGCAAAAAGTACGTGGTCCGCCTGATGATAATCAGCTACCATAGCATAAAGACCCTTGCGATACAAAAAATATCACTCGCGCCCTTGCCTATCCTGACCCAAGGACCTGGAACCTTAATCACCAACAAAAACAACACCATCAAAAGGTAGTGTTTCACTGCGCTCATCTGTAAAGTGGAGGTTACTTCCCCGGACGGGCGCTAAAATTCGAGCAGAAATCGCTGTCTTACACTATCGTCACTGTCAAATTTTCTATGGAAACTTGAACAACAGCACCACAAAGTCAAAGCACAAGGTACGTAACGAGAACTGAAAATCAGTACACATTTGACAATGACATTTTGGACTTGCAGACGATACGACGACGATTTGACGACCTCCGTGGTCGAGTGGTTTGTACGCCGGGTTTCATGGTGTCGCCGACTCGAGAGGTCCCGGGTTCAAATCCCGGTGGAGACAGATGTTTGTGTGATGAATACGAGCATTTGTACTCCAGTCATGGATGTTTAATATGTATTTCTATAAAAAAAATATACTTATATATGTACAGTTTATGTATTCTATCCGTTACCCTAGTATCCCATAACACAAGCCTTATAGTGCTTACTTTGGGGCTAGGCTAATTGGTGTGAGTGTTGGAAATATTTATTTATTATATTGGTTCGTGCTAGGGGTACTGTGATGTCGCATGTGCGTGTGGACTGAGTGATCTTTTCAAAAAACTCATCCAACCACAACCAAATTATAAGAGGATTTAGGAAATAATTGTGAAAACTTAATGGTAAGGTATAAAATTTGTGAAACCTAAACAAAGAAAGTTAGAACTAATTAACTGGATCACTCAATCTGGACACCTGAAGAATAAGCCATAACGCGTATCCAAGAATTTACTACCTATGTGTTTATAATTTGTATTTGAAATAATTGTGAAGAATTTGTGAAAGCTGCTAAACAAATTTTCGATTCATTTCAAAGCCACGTTTAAGATTTAGAACGGTTTATATGGATCACTCAGAATGCACTATGTTCATTTGAGTGAACTTTTAAAACACTACCTTATACTGAAAAAGTATGAAACTTTATCGTGTTTATTATAAATTATGCTTCTGGGAGTAAAACAAAGATCGGGATTGAAATCTTACTGGTTTAAGAGAAAATGAAAATCTTGTTTTTTCTCGATCGTCCCAACTGAGTGATCCTTATCTTGAACTATATTTAATAAACCCAAACTTATAGGTAGAAGGTAGTTACATCAGAAATTGTGAAAAATGTTGTACTAAAATTCGACGAACCAATCGTCCCAGTAAGTGGCGTGGTTGCCACCGACTTACTATGGATACTATTCCTACACGAACAAAGAAATTTGGTGACTTATTTCTTTGTCATACTATTCGTAAGTGGAATTCTTTGCCCGCGCACGCATTCCCTCCTTCCTACAATCTGGGGTCCTTCAAGAGAGGCGTGAAGGTTTGCAGGCCGGCAAGGTGAGGGTGGTTGGTGTAGCAATTTATAACTGCCGAATCAGCTATCTTCGCGTTTGGACTTTATCAATACTTAACATCAGGTGGAGTAGACATTTACCTACCTGGCTATAAAAAAAAATAAAGATACCTATTATTAAATGAATTAATTTAGCTAATTTTAAATAGAGGAGCTCGATGGCGCGAGTGGTTAGCGCGTTCCGCAGCGATCGTTGAATTTAAGCAACTTTCGCAGTGGTCGGTCATTGGATGGGTGACCGAAAATTTACTATCTCAAGCTCCTCCGTGCTTCGGAAGGCACGTTAAGCCGTTGGTCCCGGCTGCATCTGCAGTCGTTAGCACCCACCAACCCGCACTGGGCCCGCGTGGTGGGTCATGGCCCAATCTCCCTATTCCAACCATAGGGAAGCCTGTGCCCCAGGAGTGGGGACATTAATAGGCTGATGATGATTTAGCTAATTAAATATGCCCCACATGGGCATATGCCGATTATAATAAAATATAAGAAACATTCAAAAGAGAATTTTCATTTCATAATCAAACAAAGTTATTGATGTTTATACCTGCAGCCGTGTCAATTATTTAATTCATAGTATTTGGAAATAGTTTCATTAAAATCACTTGACGAACACTACAACTCACCGAATGCATCAGCAGTCGTTAGCACCCACCAATCCGCTTTGGTCCCGCGTGGTTCGTCATGGCCCAATCCTATTCCATCCTGAAGGGAAGGGAAGGCCCCAGCAGTGGGGTCATTAATAGGGATGATGACAATGAAAATCACATTTAAATCTAAAGAAAAGTTTACTAGAAAAAAATCCACGCGGACCAGGCAGAGGATGGGACTCGAACCCGCATCCTTCGCAATCCGGGCGAATGCACTGACCATTATGCTACCACGGCCCTATTAGCCGCGTCGAAATCTTCCTAGCCTTAAGCTGCAAGACAGCGCCATCTGTAGGTAACCCACAATGTCAAATGAATACTTTTTCAAGTATTAAACATTTGAAACCAAATGAATTAAACATTTTTTTCTAGTAAACTTTTCTTTAGATTTAAACATCTAGCAGTTAAATGCTTAAAAAATAAATAAAATCATAATCACATTTAAGTTTTATATCCGTCCTTTATTGCAATCGATTCAAAACAGTGTTGCGATACATACAAAATGTTTGTTGAGGCAAATTTTTAATTCAGTAGTGTCACCTCACTCTTTAAAACTAACATTAATACAATGAACATTTAGGTACATATTCCATTAATGTGTCTAAAAATACAAGTAAGCGCAGCGATCTAGTATCACCACCATACCATCTGAATTTTATACGTAAGTATTATAAAATGTTACTATTTATTCATTGGAATCCATTGAACATGTGGATTTTTTCACGTAGTAGAATCGTAATCGTGATATTTAACTAGGATAAAGAAAATTCATATTTTTTTCACAATTCTAATAATATTCACTTTATTTTCGATGCAGTCTGTGAGAGAACTACATGTCTTCAAATGATAAATTTCATTGTGCTAAACATGCTAGGCAGATGTGAACCTTAGTAAATCACAAAATTAAATTTTCTATAACAAAGTAATAATCAGACACATGATTTGCGAATGGACTAAAGCCACAAAATGACACATTTGTTGTTCAAGAATGTACATAAAAAGTTTTTTCAAAGAAATGGTATAATAAATCAGTTACTGGATTGTAACTAAGTAATAAGTGTAAATAATATAAAATTTGGGAGCTTACAAATTAAATAACAATAATATTAATTGATTTACTCTCGGTTTTGAATTTTCAAACGAAATAAAGAAGTGATTTTATAAATCTAAAGAAAATATAACTAGAAAAATTACCTATAATGCGAAGAGATGGCGCTGCCTTGCAGCTTAAGAATGGCTAGAAGAATTTCGACGCGGTCCGTGAGGGCCGCGGTAGCATAATTGGTCAGTGCATTCGCCCGGATTGCGAAGGGTGCGGGTTCGAGTCCCGTCTGCTGCCTGGTCCGAGTGGAATTTTTCTAGTTATATTTTCTTTAGATTTATACATCAAGCAGTTACATGCTTTAAAATAATAAATATTATAAGTGATTTTATGTTCCTATCAAATGCAATTAAGAAAGTCTATTTGGTTTATGGAAATAATAACGACATGATGTTTATTTTTAAAAGCGAAACAAAAATCACGCAAAACAATCAACTTTATATTCTTAGTGACATAGATCATTTTACCCAAGTGCGATAATCAACAAAAAAGTAAGGTTTCTTCAAATAACTCAAAACCAAGAGGACATCTTAAAACGGAATGGCCTATAACACAGTTTTATTAAAACTTTTTTCTGTTTTGAACATACTCTTAAGTCACTAAAATAATATCAAAATATGAATCAGAAAATTATAATTATTGTAAGAAATATTGTAACAAGTCTTAGGGCTTTTACATATTGCGATTTTTTGCAGCTATATAATCAAACGCAAACGCTAAGCGGGTCACGAACTCACGACGAAAAACATGCTAAATATTTATAAACTGGAGACCCAGTTTAAGTAAAAAGTAACTGCAACTAGAAAGCATACACTTCTATTAAATAGTGTGTACTTTTTCAATATCTTTTCTACGAAACGCCCAATGCATTAGTTGTTCGTTTCCCTTCGTTGTTGCTTAATCTCTTTTGAGCTAAAACGTGATTCAGCATCAATACAAATATAAGGATGTATCGCTAAAAATACTTTTCAATTGATGATGTAGTGATGCGTTTCGTCTCGCTAATTTATAACACGCGTTTATTTTGCCGTAAAAACTCGCAGTGTATAAGTAGCCTAATACTTTATTTGAAAGTTTCCAGAATAAGTAAAAATTTAATCATAGTCTTAAAATTAATGAATTATCGCTTTATTGAAATATAAAGTTATAACATGTGATGCAAAACTGTTTTATCCTATAAAATATAAGCATTAGATGGCTCAGTGCTTCAGTGTCGTTTTTTATATGGTTGTTGTGGTTTAACTTGACTGGCAATGTATTTGGAGTTGTTAAAATGAATTGAGCCTTTATGTCTTGGGACACAGATCATTTTTGATTGATCTGTGTGTTGAAATAGATCAGTTGTTGTTCAGATGGGGTACCTATTATTTACACAACGCTATCCAATGTCCACCACATTAAATTTGCCTCACTCCAATCGTAGAACAATTCAAAATAACACAAAGGCAAAAACTAGTAATCAACTTATTGCACATTTACAACAACCAATTGTGTTAAGAGCATATCAGCTCAAAACCGTAAATACAATCACAACTTACAATCTAAAGTTTTAATGTTTAGAGACCACTTCCAAATGATATAATAATATTCATAATCCTAAGCATTGGAACAATCAGTTATGATATTAGACAAATAGGCATACTCAAAGATGTAATTATTTGTCTGTCTTTTCTTTCATAATATGGCATATTATTATTCTATTGCCACTGCAAAAGTAGTATAAGACTGCTAGCTACAAAACTGTCTTGCAGAAACACAAAAGTTGGCCAAAATTGTATGGCAGAATTAACAGGTATTCCCATAACACAAAATAAGATCTACCTTGTTTTGTCTTGCTTTGTGTTAGACTAAAGCCTATGCTTGAAGGATGTAATCCAGGATCCCAACAAAGGTGACCTTGTCCGTTGCCATCTATCTAAACGATGGATGTAATCCAAATTTTGATTTGATCTTCAACGTCCTTGGATTATGGGCGCGTGTTTCCATCCGCGGTTGGAGCGCGTGGATTACAACCGTTTGGCCAGCGGATTACATCCAACCAAAGACATTTGCGCTATGGTAGTCGGCTTCTTAGGAAGTTATGAATATCCTCAAAGTCCAGTAACTCCAATAAGTTTAAATGGCTGAGAATCAATCGCTCTTTTAATCAACGCTTCATCCACGTTCTCTTTATTTGTTGTTTTTCGTCGTTTATTGCACACAAAATTGCTAAGGCAAAGCCCACTTTTTGAAATTTAGACAAATTTGGAGCCATTTCTACAACACGGTTAATACAGTCCGCGCATGATACGAGTGCATACGTGTTTTCACGCCAGAAGACGGCTCGCGATTGCGTGTTGGCGCGAGGATTACATCCGTGTAGCCGAAAATCGTAACGCGGATGGAAACCAAGTTCCCCCAAGGTCACCTTGGTTTGTACGCTGGATTACATCCGTCTAGAATAGACTTTAATAAAAAGTTTTGAACCATTTTTATTGACTTTTTGTAAGTTTTTTATTATTTTATTTATTTAATCATTAATTGGAACTGTGTTTCTGCAACCGAGTATATCATAATCTAATATTACTTATCCACTAAAATGGTCTGACACTGGAGCCATACCAAAAACAACAAAATAATTTTAAGGTATCACATACAAATTTTAAGTCTGCGAAGGAAATCCTAAATAGCAGAAGATAACTTATTGCATAATGTCAATGATAGAAACAGTACGTTTAAAATACTACATGTGTTTGACAAAATAGAAAAGTCCCTTTGAAGAAAAGGCTAAACAGAGAAAAAGTTCATTATCAAATACTTAAAGAAAACAAATAGTAAAAATCTTAATCGTTAAAATAACACTAATTGATTTATTTACAACAAATCTATATAACATATAGATTTAACAAACATACTTTGGTATGGTTCCAGACAAAAATTTGTGCAGATGATCAAGTCCCTACAATATCACATGAATTTTAATAAATTCGGCTGTATAACATAATCACAAGTGTTTAAGAGAACACATCAATGGGTCGGGGTGACATAGTTGTCAAGTTAGGGTGTGTCGGACTCCCTAGGGGGTCACTTACTTGAGATTCATTCCGTTTAGCTTCAATAGTAGCTTGTTTAACAGCCTCTTTGTATGGACCCCTCTTTTTCTTATTAAATCGTATCTGAAATGTAAGAGCATTACAATTATTATCATTGAAATTTCATCAATTACATTACATCTGCTTTTGCATGGATTAACAATGTACACAAAAGTAATTTTTAAAAAGTGACCAATTATCTCATGTGGCTTAGCAGATAAAACCTCATGTGTGCCCTTAGAAACAGTGACACGACATGGCATGCCGCTCTGTCTAAGGACACACATAGTAACACACATAGCAAGTGCATAAGAGAGCACATAATTAAGGTCCCATTATTTTTTCAAACATACATTACATCCATAGTTAAATTTGAATATAGATAAAATATTAGAGAAAAAATACCATTTGTCAAAATTTACTATCTATTTCACATGACATTAATTAGTCAAATATATCTATCGATGAAACAACATGAGCAGAGTTGATTTATTAGCAATATCTAATCCATGTAATGAGTTATCAATGGCACTTATTGTGGCACAATTCTATCAACCTAAAAATTAATTTTGACAATAGTGTTGTCCTTAAAATGCTCTATAAATCATGAGAAATAAAAAAACACGCCAATATTAGTCTCATTGATGAGACAACAACAATACAAAAACATGTGGCTATTTATTGAGACCTGCATTAGCTTATGTTACTCACAAAATTATTTAATAGAAAATTTAATGACTAATATTAATATCATTTATTATATTACTGGTATGCTTGTTTTTTATGAAAATTCTTAATTCATTGAGTATTTGTATAAATCATTTGATCCATTTACATTTGAAACAGATTGGAAAGTCACAATCAAGGTCACATTAGACACATTGATCAAATGGTTAGAAGTTAGTTCTCTAATAATACATACACATAATATTGATGAAAAACAAGTTATTAATATGTGCATAATTTAACTATGGATAAAATATTTATATTAAAGGATGATAGAGAAATTAACATTTACCTTATAGTCTTCTAAAAATGGACTTAAGCTATCACATGGCATCAGAGATGAGGTTGTTGAGGCATACCAAGCCACATGAGCTCGTGATGTCGGTGTGACACTAAGAACTCTTCCTGGCCACCACGGAAACCCTACTACTTTTCCCCAAACAACGTCCCCAGGTGATACTCTCAGCATTCTCCCACCAGTACCTTCAGGAGCACTTGCAGGAAAATCTGGCACCACTTCACTCTCACAGTCATCTGAGCCACTTTCCTGTTCATTACGTCGTTCATAAGAGTTGCTGCTCAATCTCCTAACACTAATTGACAGTTTTTGATCCAAGCAATTGTCTTTGATGTCACTAAAATAATCTATTGATTCACTATCAATACATTTACTTGTATTCTCATCACGTTTTTTCTGAGTTTTACATTTTTTTTTATGTTTTACTTTGTGCTTGTGCTTTTTCTCTAATGGGTCTGTGGTTGGTTGATTAGCAACATTATTTCTTGGTGATAGAGCTCCTATATGCTTGGGAGACTGACCCATCCATACCTCTACTTTCTCTTTGTCCATTGTACTCTTCTTAGCTAGTTTCTTGGCCTTTTTCATGGCTTTCTTTGCAGCTTTTACATCGGGTTTCAAAGTCTTAGACATATCACAAGAAACCCCAGAATCTTCATTATAATCACCAGTCAACGGAGGTATTTTCACAACAGTACCCTCTCCTTCACCAAAACAAATTTTTAGGGTCCGAGCACTTGAAAACATAGAGCTAAATGGTGCATCATTATCGTTGTCATCTTTTGATTCTAGTTTATCATCAAACATGTCACCTTCAGGGACACTCACAAAAGCTAGTTCTCTCGTCACACTGTCACTCTCATTAGGTTTTTCAGTTTTCCCTTTGCTATTAGACTTCTCAGCACTCTTACTAGAATTTTTAGAGCTACCTTTAATAGCATTTGATATTTCATTTGGATGCAGTCGTGAGAGTTTAGGAATAAGCATGCCACCTACAAGATATTTTTTCTCACTAAATGACTCAGACTCATTCATCTCGTCATCTGAATCTAATTTGCGTTTCCTGGACACGTCCACGTTTTCGCTGTTTTCATTACATATACCTTTACAATTTGAACATAGGACCTTCCGGGGTCTGAGCCGTACCGTCATCTTTTGCCTTTGTTGTGCTTTGCCCTTCGGCCTGACTTTCTTCGTTTTCTGATAAGTTTCAGTAGCGTATTGGGGCTCTTGATAGGTGAATCTTTGACTAACGGAATGTAACTTGTCTTGGACATTTTCAGGAGCTACCGAGTCCTTTTTAAACGCCGGGTGTAGACTATATACTCCGAAAGGTAAATTACTGTAAAACGTGAGCAAATTAGATGTAATTAAAACAATTTCCACGAACCAATCGATAAAAACATCTCTTGAAATCCAATATACCTACCCTTTAGTGGAGTCCAAAAGAACACCCTGAAACTTTTTATTCTCACTACAATAGGAAACAACGATCAAATCAGCTAATGCTTCTTCAACATTAACTAAAATTTGTGAATTCTTTTGAATCGTCATATCGGCTGTTTCAGCGACAGCCGCCATATTTTTATTAGAGAAAAAAAAAAATGTAAGCCATAGAGAAATTGCAATGACAGTGACTTTAATGCTCTGGCTAGACGTGTCGTCTTGCCAAGCAGTACCAAGCAGTATTGCTACAGAGCGTATAAGCCATCCTGCTGGTTCCAGCATACCAGACATGCAAGACAGCATTACACTACATACATATAAGTCGCGGCATAAAACTCTAGCACTGACTGTTATTACCATTAAAATGTCTTGAGGGGAAAATAGTTGCGCGGGTGGGCGTGCGTTGTGCCGATTGGCTCTCCAGTCGTACCCATGCACAGCTATCCCCTCCGCATTTTGTTCAGCGCTAGAGTTACGTGCCACCAACTGTTAAGAGATGGTGAAACTTAGGGAAACCTGTACCCGATAAGTGTAGTTCAGCCATAATCATGGGCCTACCATATTGATGATTGCATTTAAACTAAATTAAAAATTAAATTCTAAGGTAGAATACTCTAAAGTGAGCTGTATAGATGTAGTATTCTTTATTTTTGTAATAGTAAAACATAATTATAAAAAAGTCCCTTTGCCTTCCCTAAAAAGCGTTAAAGAGGGATAATCTTAAAAAAAATATTATAAAAAAGTGCTCTCTGCTTGACGTTGACAGGACGTAAGGCCGTATACAGAAAGAAAGCCGAAAGCCGATCGGCGCCGATCGGCGCTTATCGGCGCCGATCCTTCCTACATAAAGGAAGCCGATTAAAACAGATCAAGCAAAATATCGGACTCATCGGACGATGATTTGGTTTTGTTAGAAAATATTTATTTAAAAATGCGAAAAACAGCTATACATCCTATAAATAGAGAAAGGAAACGTTTCGGAGAATACCATCATTTATTTGTAAAAAAAATTAAATTTGATGAACAAAGATTTTATACATATACAAGAATGATTCAAGAAACATTTTATTACATTTTGGATTTAGTGAAAAACCGTTTGATGAAAAATTGGGGCAATTGGCATAAACAACCAATCCTTCCAGAAGAAAGACTTGTTGTCACCATTCGGTAAGTACGAAACAAATAATTTTAGCGCTTAGTTAATAAAAGATAAAGTTATTAGATTTATAAAAAGATTATAACTTAGATTGATTTAATCTAAGGATAATAATTCAAATACAAATTATTTATTATTCGGACCAGCGCGTGTCGGCGCTTATCGGCGCTTATCGGCGCCGATCGGCTTTCGGCTTTCTTTCTGTATACGGCCTAAGGGTGCGGCCAGAGTGCACTCAGATTCAGACTCAGATTCAGATTTCGAAAACAAGCGCGAGAAATAAACAGTGTAGTTAAAGCAGGGTGGCCATAGTGGCAGCAGGCCGCGCAGGTTTCGGAGTCAGACACTTTACCGGAATGTTTAGGTCATTCAGATTCTGAATTCACCAGCGCCGCTCGGCAGTGCTGCCAACTCGGATTTTGAAAAATGCGTAGGCCCGATGAGAAAATTACGTAGAATTGGTAAATTATGCATATGAAAAGTACGTAGATCTACGTACTTTTTTCTGAGTGAAATGAAGAAGTTAGGTGAAACCGAATTAAACGAGTATTTTATTATACAATTTCTTTAAAAACGGGCGATAGAACAAAGAGTTCTTGGAGAAGTCGCTGCATTGGAAGCATAAATGCTTTCAACTATACCATACCACAGCATGGTAAACCATGCTGTGGTAGACATTTACTATCAGACACAGACACTGGTGGATGTCGATTCTGGCATGATTCTCTAAATTTAAAACTAAATTTAACATCAGTCTCTCCTTTTCATTCTTTATAGAGAATGACAAGGATACATTGTTGTTAAATAGGCTAGTTGACACTTTTTGCAATTATGTTTTGAAATGTTAATGATTGTTCTATCAGACCGAAAAAAAATGTATTTTTTTTACCTACAAGACATACAAAAACGCTGTATATTCTATAGACTTATCTATGCTATGACGTCAAAACATTTGTAAACGAACACACGCAAGCACGTAGGAAATAAACTTTCCGAGTTAATATTATAAAACCATGATTTCTAATAGATCACATGAAAAATTTAGTAGTTATCATGATACACTTGGTAAAAGACTAGAAAAGTTGTGGTTTAAATTGCCAAGAGAAAAAAACATACTTCATGAACACATGTTTAAAACTTGCTAAATCCTGTAACTTTATCCACTGAAAGTCATTTTTTTTGCAAAGATCAATTCGATGTAAGTACTCATTGAATAATATTACAGTTTAAAAATACAATTTTCAAGGTTATGAATGTTTTTTAATAACCAAAAAATTTTGTTTCTTTTTATAGTTCGCCATAATTTTGTACCCTAATTGAGTGGATTATATAAATATAATATTTGTGATAGTATAGTAAATTGTAAATTAAAAGCTGTGATTGAAATTTTAAGTTCTTAAGAGCAAACATATATAAAGTCTTATATTAAACAAAACTGCTATATTATTAGTCATTATCTATGTTTATAATTTTTTTATGATAATATTTACTTTAAAATTTTAAAGTTTAACATAGATATGCAAAACTCATTATATAATAAAAAAAATGTTATTTGTCATTAAAAATAATTTCATTAACATAGCATTTTTTTGTATTATTAATGATTGTTCCTACATATACTATAAACCATACAAATTATTCAAATTACACTACCCTCGCGAATCCAGACCCAGCTTTCCGGTTAATCCGGACAGTCTGTTCCCATCATATCCAGATTAGTGAGATTGTAATAAATTCTTACCTAATGGTTATAATAAGGCGTTCTTCTGGAAGAATCTTGTGTTTGTGCAAATTACACCAATTCTTCATCATTTGAGGTTCACATTTTTTTAAAATGTAGTAGAACGTTTCCACTTCCATCCTAAAATATTGGAAGAAACGTTTCCTATCATCTTTGAATTGGGGAAACAAATGGTGGTATTCCCCATATTCACTCCTTAATTTATTAATTTGGTGAACACCGATTCTCTCGCGTTTTAATTTATAATGACAACTATCAGTAGCCATTAACAAGCACGCTAGATCTTCATTAGAAAATTCCATGTTTAAGTTTCTGGATCAACGAACATATAACAATGTACTCTATGACTCCGTACGCGTCGAATGAGAAAGAGAGACTGTTGAATGACTGTCGATTGCGACTTTGTACAGATTAAAAGTTTATGAAGTGGTTTTATTTTTATATAAAAATGTAATAAAAAAAAAATTCCGTTTCGCCCAAAACAAAATTTCGCTTTAAAACCCCCCCAAATTTCGGGTAACTCCCCCCCAACCTGGCAATAGTGCTCGCGTCCGCGTCTTGTAATCTGCCTCCACTGTGGCCATCACCTGCTTTGCTCAAGCTGACATCTCACGAGCCTGCTTTCTGAATCTGAATCTGAATCTGAATCTGAGTGCACTCTGGCCGCACCCTAAGACTTGACAGTATGGCTTAGTACCTTCGCCTGTCCCAATGGACGAAATTATACTACTACTTGACGTTGACATTTGTTTAAAAACGTCAAACGACCAGAATTTGATTTCGCCGATTCGCGAATTAAAAATTGCAAAAAAAGAAATCACAAAAACGTTCAAGCAAGAGGATTAGTCCTGGGATAATTTGTGTTCTTAAGTGAATTAACCTTACAGTAAGTGTAGTGTGTATCATTAAATGAAAATGTATAGTTTTCCTAAGTTGCGTAAATTTTATATTCATGTTATAAAATATAAAATATGTTATTCATTAAACGTGCATGAAAAAAAATATTTCATTATTTAATTGATTTTGTACCGTTTCAAATAAAGGTAGGATGTTACATTTACGTTTTAAATTAATTACAAACTTGTTTTCATAGTTGTCTAGTACTTGAATGACCTTTTAGATGCTCTATCGTTCTATTTCTCGCGTTTCGCTAATAATTCTCGTCTTTTAGAATCTGATTATTATGGTATTTAGTTTTAAATGTTTACATAAATAGGAATTTCGATATTTAATCTTCCTCTTTTATAATAATAATGTTTGAAACTATTTCTCATGTGAATGAATAGGTAATTTTTCAGACCGTACATTTGCTGCTGTAAATAATGTAACTGCGACGAACAGTTGGCGCGAGATGACCTTGCTTTGATCACAATTAGCAGAGTAGTTAAAAGGAAATTGTCATTTAGAAAACCTGTTTGGAATCCAAATGTTTAATTTCCTTAACAACTATGTTATCTATGGAATAAGAATCAACTTCATTTGGAATCAATAATCAATTGATTAGAATCAATTGTTTATTCTTTTTGTACATTCAAACGTTTTTCTTTCCTTGTTTTTATACAGTTTTTTAATGTAAATCATCAATGAGAATGCCAAAATTTGTTATCTAAAACTTGTTTTGTAATTTGCTACCGTTTTCATACATTTTTTAACACTTAATATGATTGGTCATTCTGTTTTATACACCTAAATCGCCAACACATACCACACATATTATTACCTCTTGCAGCAACATTAAATTCAATGAGAATGTGAAAGACCATATTGTTCATGGTCTCTCATATGCATTGCTTTCTCAAATATTTTAGATAATATAGATATTGGGCTGTAATTATCCAATACATCAGTGTCATCCTTTTTGTGGATAGGTTTTATGACAAATATCTTCAATATTTCCGGGAATTACCCTCTGTAAACAATAAGTTTATTAGGTATGACAATATATCAGAAAGAATTAAGGCACAGTATTTTAAGACCTTAGTAAATTTATCATAACCAACAGATGTGGTGTTATTGAGAGATCTTATTATTTTGAATACTTCTTTCGGGGTAGATGGGTATAAATATATGGATTTATCTATTGATTTAATGTTAAGGTTTAATGTCATTGTAGTTTAATTCTTAGGCTCCAAATTGTCTTAATATTATTATTAAATTTAAGAATTTTATCATTTTTAGTATTTGTAATGTCTATAAAATAGTTATTAAAGGTATTGCAAATGTCAGAAGGATGGTCAATCATTACATTATCATTATTTTTAATTTTATTTATATATTTATTGTTTGTATCACATTTATCATAATATTTTATTAGGTTTCATGTCAATTTGCAAATGTTCTTACTTTTCCTTAACTATGCTTTACTATTTAATTTGTGTGATTTATCAATGCATTTTGTTAAGGTTTAATTACTATTTATTAGTAAAAGAATTGAATATTTGCTCAAATGTTGAAGTTTTTCTTGCATCATTTGATGTGATTAGTGATAATACCAAACATCTAATAAGAGAAATTCATAAATTGGCATTATTGATTATGCAATCAATAATGCCAATTTATTAATTTCTCTTATGTAATATATTATTATTTCTTTTCATACTTATATTTAGTTTTATTTAGACTGATTATTAAACAGGGTACCAAAAAGTACTTGTGATAGACTTTAAGTTTATTTTTAGAACATGTCCAGAATAGACATCACACAACCCCTTTGGGATCAAAGCACATTCTATGGAAGGTTTCGGCACTTTGCATTTATTTCCAACCCTCTGCTGTCTCTGGCTCCCGAAAAGGAATTGTATGATGCTAAGGATCTCTACCTAAAATACAAGTGAGTATTCTAATTATACAAGTTGTGTATAATCAGAGCCAGATTTAAGCCAGGGCAGTCGGGGTCATGTCCCAGGGGCTTCCACAAGAGAGAAGCCCTCAAAACAGAGATAAAAATGTTTCAATGTGTCACCAAACCAGGTGACTGAGTGTTTGGCCCCAAATTTAGTGGTCTGCATTGCCCCACACTTCTAAACTCTTGGTAGAGTGGTCATGACCGTTACTTCAGCGTCATCGGCGGATTCAGTGGCGGTGATCCGCAGCACAAAGCGACTCTATACCTCCCTCACGGCTGTTTTCCTTGTGCACTCGTGTAGAGGATCATTTGTTATGGCTTTAATTTGGTCAGTCCATTTTATTGGCGATCTACCGCTTGTTGAGGTGCCTTCAACTCTACACTGCACGACGAGACACTCGATGGAGGTTTCATCACGGCGAGACACGTGCTTGAAGAAAGCAAGGATGCGAGCTTGGACATCGGAGGACAGCCGCTGCTTGATGCCGAGTTCTTAGAATTGAAATTGGTTGGTTTGTTGGTTCGAAATTCAGTCCTCATGGACTATGCTGGTGTGTGCTGTGGTGTAAGAATATCATTATTCCGAGCATTCTTCTCCAGCACCACATTTCGAGAGCATCTATTACCCTCCGTCTCTCACTTTCGCTTAATGTCTATGCTTCTGTGGCATACAAAAATATGGGAAACACTAGTGTTCTCACAAGCCGGGTCTTCGTGGTTTCGTGATGTTATGGTTCTTCCATATCTTTTTCAGTTTCTCGATGAAAGATCTAGTAATAGCCGTACAACGTCATTAAACGTTTGATATTATTGATAATCTGCCATTTTATTAGTAATTAACGTGCTCAAATATACGAGTACGTACGATTGAACTACATCACAGTTCGTGATTTGTGTAACTTCTGGCGCATTGTTATTTGCGCTATTGATGATCATCATCTTTGTTTTAGTGTGGTTAATTTACAACCCGAACTCCTTGCTGACGCTTTCCATTCTATCCAATAGATCTTCCATGTGTGGAATAGTGGTTGCGAATAGAGTGTTATCATCCGCGTAGTGTAGGTTTAAAATAGTCAAACCTCCAATTGCGACACCATCTTGCCAGTCCTCTGGTGCAATCCCCATAATATGCTCAGTGTAAATATTAAACAGAAGTGAAGAGAGACTGGTATGAAACTGATTCGCCAGTAATTCATCTGTCCTCACTCTGTAAGGAAATGACCATTGCCCTTCCATTGAGTTTTACAAAGGCCTCAGGTGCTCAGCTCGCGTCTGGTTATTTTTCGCTCTACGATCTTAAGCTTACCGGGTTGTAGCAGTCCACGAACATTCCACGTGCCTATCTTTTGGCTTTGTTGCATTTAGACGGGTATTTCAGAAGTTAAGTTTCCATGCGTGGTGTCACACATTTGCTTGGCTGGTAGTCCATTTCCCACCCACCGTCTGCCCCGGAACCAGTACGACGCCGGTTGCTATGCGGATAGCATGGCCATCTCGATATCTTTGATTGTACTTCCATAACTATTCCCTTGGGATAAGTAGAAGTAAGCCCCTTGCTTTCTGCACCAGACATTTTAGAGGTTACTAGGACTTTAAAGCCTCTGCAGCCTCTTCCAAAAGTGGTCGGGTGTGTGGTTATACCGCCATTCTTCGGTCGTCATTGCCTCTTTGTTATATAGCAGGAAACACTATGACCTAGTGGTTTTTTATTATGCAGGCGGGTGAGGTTGACAGTTGGGCCGGTAAAGATTTTACTTCCGTTGTTCCTTTACTCACCATTTAATAATTAGTCTAGCACAAATGATTCATTATGAAATAGTGTAATTACTTAATGTATTGACATATTATGTTGCACTGCTCATGCCCAGGGCAAGAACTAATTTTGTTTCGCACTTTTAAGGGAAGGTCGAGAACCAAAAGACACAACTATAGAGCAAGTGGTGAGAGCGAAGCAGTTGTATGAATCAGCGTTCCACCCAGACAGTGGAGAACTGCAGAATGTGTTCGGCAGAATGTCGTTTCAAATGCCTGGGGGTTGCCTCATCACGGGTGCGATGTTGCAGTGGTACAGGTATGTAATATAAGAAAACTCTTGTTAATTACTTCAGCACTTGTCTCACTGCCGACGATGAACGAAAAGCGACTCTCGCCACTCGCTCGCGGTAGCAGTTTCGAGTAAAAGTACAAGCGCGCGAATTTTGATCGCCAACCAGCATTGCTGAGTGAGTATTATCTTTGGTAGCTCTTGTCGCTCAGCGGAAAACTAGTGGAGCTAGTTTTCGCCGTTAGTGAAAACAGTCAGCGATCAACTGTTAACATATGCATCACTTTTGTATATTTGTACGTTTCTTGAGCTATAAAATAGCCGTTAGACAGTCGCTTCCTCGGCGGCGGCGGGATAACTGCCATAATATGACTTGTATTAGATGTATTTTGAAAATGTAATAATACTTATAAATATACGCAGATCAGGTTAAAGTGATGGATGACACAGCTAAATTCTGTGCTGATCACAATGTAAAAAATTATACTGCCAGTATCTGAAATTTATTGAGATGATTTTATGTTGATTTAGTATTTAGTAGGTAATAATATTTAGCGTGAGTTGCACCAACTTACTTTAACTGTTAAGTAAAATTGCCAGTTAGGTAAAAAATGGGTTGCACCGTTTGACGATAATCAAAATGAGGTCATAATGTGACAGTAACAATAAATGTCTAGTTAAATTTATTGTAAAAAATAAAAAGGTTAGTTAAATTTATTGTAAAATTTAACTTAAACTCACACTTAATGCTTTATCTGTATTTTAGACAATATCACAGTGTAATAGTTGGATATTATATTGTTTTCTAAAATTATAATCCTTATAATCCGAAGAAACACCACAAGATTTCTTTAGCTTCTCGGGGTAAGGAGCAGGGTTTTCGTGTTCCGCACCGATCACATGAGTTTATCATTTGGGGTCAGTTAGGAAAAAATGTTCCCAATCACTCAATTTGTCCAACTGGTTGGTCAGATAGTAAAAAATGACCAGGGAAAATCCTGGAAAAGGAATGCTTAATCATCTCTTTAAAACAGACTCTTGGCTGGGATATTTATATGTGCGATGTTATAGATGTGCAATATTATTATTAAGAATTCATAAACATACTACATGTTATCTAGGTAAAGTCTTGTCGAGATAAAAATTTCCTCGGGACATAATAGTGTCTGTTAAAACGCATTTCGTTATACAGTCGAATGGACTTTAGAATATTTGACAAGCTTTAGAAAATGATCTCACTTTATTTGCTTATGTTTATGGAGCTCATAAAATGTGGATATTCATCATTCTTTTGTGTATATCAGTAAAAATAACTAAATCAAAAACGCCATTTTCAAGTTGCCGCGAAAACGTATCTCTGGACAATATGGCGTCTCACTGGTATGTGACGTCACACGACTGTCATTAAATTTCAAACGATACAATGGAATGTCACTTTGAAATGGCATTTGAAATGTAACCGGAAGTTTACTAGCGTGTGACGTGATTTTAGGCTCAATCCCAAGCGTTTTGGGTCACGTGACAATAGATAAGAAAACTGTTATCATTTTCGTAGGTTTTCAATTATGAATATTATGAATATTTTCTATAAAAATAGCAATATCCCCTAGCAATATTCATCCTAAATACTGATGCAAACAATGGGCTCTTTATTTTTAATTTTGTCAAATACCCTCCTATTCCAATTGCATTTTGGCTAAAGTATATGGGTGGCTGGACAGTTCATTTACAAGATGAATCATCAAGAAACAATGCCATTGCACTCAATGCTAGTCTCGAAATATATTTAACAGCTGTACACAATGTTTGTAAATACCTCAAGGTCTTGCGAGTGCGTAGTTCAGTCGAAGTTGTCAGACACACCTCTTTTTGTCACGAGATGTTTTAAATAGATTCAATTACGTAGTTACATGAAAAACAAAATAAAGATTAACGCTAGACATCGGGGCTATCGCAATCCATAGCTTATTTAAGTTTTTTTTTCTTTTTTTCTCAGCTTAAAAGATGCTAAATTATGAATAGTCTACCGTCCATTCTTTCATCTGACTGTCATGAACGTTATGAGTAGGCAGAGAAAAAAAAATGGTGTAACCAATCAGATATATGAACATGCACAATGTAAAATAAACGCGGTTAAATTCACGCGCGATATATTTATAAAAAGCTATATTAGGTATCAGCGTGGACTAACTACATCACATCAGGGTTTCTCATACGATAAATAATTGTTTAAGAAAACAACCATTTTGGATATGTCTCCCTCCATATAGATTGCGGCGATGTGGTTCCCGCTAAGAGCATTACTGTTTAAAAATTTCGTTAAGTGCTTTATTTAAATTCAACGGTGGCTTCGGAGTTACCCGAAATAGGGTGAATGGAAATGTAGGGTGATATGATGCTTGACGAGCGCGTGATGTCTCTGAACTGAATCCTGAACATTTCCCAATTGGGAATTCTGCTCTATTCTCCTCACTTCATAGGCGCCATAAAGTTTGAATCCCACTCTGCAACTATTAAAATTGAATAAAATCATTTATTGTTCGGACAACTGATGTCTGGATAATAAACGATTTGATCTTGGTCGCTAATTTTCGACGCGCAGGTATGGAAGAGACTTTCTTCTTTTCTTACAGAACGGGGACAGCAGTTGTGTTCTGGCAATGGGTTAATCAATCTTTCAACGCGCTAGTGAATTACACCAATCGTAACGCGAAGTCCCCCCTCACTACCACTCAGATGGGAGTGGCGTATGTGACCGCCACGTCGGCAGCAATGGGCGCAGCGCTAGGGTTCAAATTCTTCGTTGCGAAGCGGGCGAAAAACCCAATACTTGCTGTGAGTATTGTCAACAGATTTACAAAATAGTTGAGAGAGGTAGGATTTTCCGCTCTAATTGGAGTGCCCGTCTGGGGAAGCAATCTCCACCTTACAGAGGATTATGGTCCCTGTGATTCTGGCGTGATTTATTGAGCCTTGAGCTTGTTTTTTGGCGTCGGTCTCTACTTCTCATTCTCTAGGGAACATTAAACTGTCGAAATGTTTGCGTTTTGGGAGTAGTGTCGGAGTCAGTACATTATACCCATTTAATTTTAGTATTAGAGAAGTATAGTGTCGATGGAACATAAGAATTTTATGGTATTAGAGTACAGTTTAATTTTATAGCAAATAGTCTAGGTTTGATGTTTTCGAGTAGGTGAACGTTGAAATAAAAAGGTATAATAATCAACGTACAATTATTCTGGGAAGCTCAATGGCGCAGGTGGTTAGCGCGTTCGGCTGCGATCGTTGAAGTTAAGCAACATTCGCAGTGGTCGGTCATTGAAGGCACGTTAAGCCGTTGGTCCCGGCTGCATCTGCATCGCCAATCCGCACTGGGCCGTAGTGGGTCATGGTTCAATCTCCCTATTCCATCCATAGGGAAGGCCTATGCCCAAGCAGTGGGGACATTAATAGGCTGATGATGATGAGAATTTATTTAAATACTATATTTCAATATTTACAGAGGTTCGTGCCTTTCGCGGCGGTTGCTACGGCCAACTGCGTCAACATTCCTTTGATGAGGCAGACCGAACTGATGGACGGTATGTTATCCTACTTGTATATATATTATAAATGTGATAGGTTGTATTTTTGTTACTTAAACACGCAACAACTACTCAACGGATTTGGATGAAATTGAACCAGGAAGGACAGGGCCGGATTTAGAGGTCCAGAGGCCTCGGGGCAACAGAGGAGCGGAGCCCCCCTCACCAAAAATTTGGAAAATACTAAATAAAGTAAACATTTTTTTTCAGTCGAGTTTTTCAATAAATAATTTATTGTGAATAATCATGTATGTTAGATGTACAAAGTACTGTAGGCTGTAAGTAAAGGTAAAAGAGCAAAAAAAATATCAAAGGAAAAGATGTTTACTAGTTGGAATTTGAAAGATTTTTTTTCCGAAGTCTCTATTGTGGGGGCCCCCCGTTTGTGGAGGCCCCGGGGCTTTCGCCCCGGTTGCCCTCCCCTAAATCCGGTAGTGAGGAAGGATATTAAATACCCTAGATACAACGACAGTGAGTGGACATTGTAAAGGTTGCGACATGTTTTTTTTGTTGAAAATTCTGTTAAATGCTTAAATGAGTTTCTTGCGCCCATTCATCTCATCAGCTAAAAGATGTCCTGAATGGGGGGTAGAAAAAAATATTGGTCGATTCAAAAGAGCTTTCCATAAGTCAATTTAAATAAAGTATAATTTCATTTCAAATGGAATAGGTAGAATAGATAATTTTTGGTTTATATTTTTATTTAAATATTTAACTGCTAGATTTAAAAATCTAAAGAAAATTTTACTAAAAAAAAAACACTCGGTCCAGGTATCAGACGGGATTCGAACCTGCAACTCCCGCAATCCGGGCGGATATTGAATGTGGATTAGTGGGTGTTGGCGAAAAATGGATCCAATGTGGATTGGTGGGTGTTAACGACTGCAGATGCAGCTGCTACCAACAGCTTAACGTGCCTTCCGAAGCACGGAGGAGCCTGAGATAATAAACTTTTGGTCACCAATCCAAAGACCGACCATTGCGAAAGTTGCTTGACTTTCATGATCACCTCAACTTGAAGACCTCCGTGGCCGAGAGGTTTGTACGCCGGGTTTCATGGTGTCGCCGACTCGAGAGGTCCCAGTTTCAAATTCCGGTGGGGGCAGACGTTTGTGTGATGAATACGAGCATTTGTCCAGTCATGGATGTTTAATATGTATTTTTATAAAAATGAACTTATAGATATATGTACTGTATATGTGTTCTATCCATTACCCTAGTATCCCATAACACAAGCCTTATAGTGCTTACTTTGGGGCTAGGCTAATTGGTGTGTGTTGGAAATATTTTTTTTATATTTATATTTATGATCACAGATCAAACTAGCTTTTTAATAAAAGCTTGTAAAAATGACACGTTTTGGTTTATCATTATTACAGGTCTAGAAGTAGCAGATGAAAATGGAAAAATTATTGGCAAATCACAACTGGCGCCCGCAAAGGGAATTTCACAGGTGGTCGCATCAAGGTGAGAAAATGTAGAATTTTATTTTGTTTAACAGTATGTAATAACCACATGTTACAAAGAACAACGTTATAAAATGAAATGTATGGAATTATTTTATTTTAAAAGGAAATTCTAAAATCCAGTTTAAATGTTTCTGTCTATATTTAGTTTAATTGCCTAAATAAAAATATAATAAATAATGTAGCAATAAATAATGTCGCCAATTTACCTTAGGCATATTTTAAAACAGCCAGCGTTTTTTAAACAGTCGACCCCGTTTGTAAAACGCGAAATCATTCAAATTGCCTGCTACATAATATCTATTTGATTAAAAACAAGGTTTTAAGTCACAATTTAAGAGTTTATTGCTTATTCCTGAATTTTAAAGTTAGCATACCATTCGCTTAAACCAAAAGATGGCCGCTTGGCTGAATTAAATATTATCTAGTAATCATTTTTTTAACAGTCGTTAACACCCACCAATCCGCGTGGTGGGTCATGGCTCAATAATATTCCATTCATAGGGAAGGCCTGTGCCCCAGCAGTGGAGACATTAATAGGCTGATGATGGTGATGATTATGAAACAATTTTTATCGATATAACATTAAAAGAGATGTCCCAAATTGGGATGAGTGTTTATCGAGTCTTAACATATTTTTTAATTAGTCAATAGGCTATTTGATAGTATCAAAAATATAGTTCCAATGTATGTGTTTTTTTTTATAATAATACTGAGAGATTTTAGAAAAAAAGTATTTTAGTGAAAAAAGTATCTTCAATATACTAAGATACTGGAAAAAGGTATTTAAATACATGATAATTTTCAAAAAAACATTTGAAATGCAAGATGAAGATACGTAGTTTGTATTCTATCTTAGATACTTTTATCTTGTATAAGTCACATCTCTGCTTAAATTGCCACCAGCTCCCTAGCTAAGAGAAAAGTTTTTGATTTACTTTTTTTTTCTTCTGAATTATACACAACACTATGACAAATCTTTATATATATAATTCTTCTGTGAGTGTGTATGTCACTGAACTTCTCTTAAACGACTGGACCGATTTTGATGAAATTTTTTGTGTGTGTTCAAGGGGATCTGAGAATGGTTTAGATTCACAATTTTGTCCGCTGGACAACCCCTATTTTTTTAAAGCGGTACGAAGTTCGCTGGGTCAGCTAGTATCCTTATATTTAACGGACTTTATAAACATTAGTAGCTACTCGACTTTCACAAGTGCTTGTAGCATCCTAGACTGAATAAATGAGTTTTGATTAGGAAACAACGTGAGATCGTTTTCTAAACTTGACAAATACTCTATTGAACATAGACCGGGGGCCAATCGCCTACTAGTATTGCTATAGCTATCGTTAACGCTAAGGTTTTCGAATACCTCACGCTCAATTTCTTTAATATTGTAATTACCAATGCAAAACAAAACCTTCGGCCGTTAGAAATAATAATATGAAATCGTAAGCGATAGCGTTAGCCATAGCAAGCCCTTAAGGCGATTGACCCACTGGCCCAGTCCCCGTAGCGGGAGCATTAAAATTTACATTAATAGAGGTCGCCCGCGACTTCGTTTGCGTTAACTTAGTTTCTTGAAAATCCCTCTAGAACCTAACATTTTTTCGGGATAAAAGTAGCCTATGTGTTATTCTAGGGTGTCAGCTAACTCCATACCAAATTTTATTAAAATCGCTCCAGCCGTTTAGACGTGAAGAAGTAACAAACATACACACTCACATACTCACACACTCACAAACTTTCGCCTTTATGATATTAGTGTGATGATAACACGTTTTTTTATCGCGCCTGTCAAACTCCATAGTAATATGACAACAGAGCGTAATAAAAACGTGTTATATATCATATCGTTATGTGGTGGTCATGCTAGGGGGGTAAGCTCCATATTTATTTATCTTTTACAAAGTTTCAACAGCGATTTTTGTGGATGTAATACAATAAAATATAAATACAATATTAAGGCCAATTACGGAGACTTATTTTGTAGACAATAGATTATTATAGTTAAGCAACTTTTGCAGTGGTCTGTCATTGGATGGGTGACCAAAAACTTACTATCTCGAGGTCCTCCGTGCTTCGGAAGGCACGTTAAGCCGTTGGATCCGGCTGCATCTGCAGTCGTTAGCACCCACCAATCCGCACTGGGCCCGCGTGATGGGTCGTGGCCCAATCTCTCTATTCCATTCATAGGAAAGGCCTGTGGCCTAGCAGTGGGGACATTAATAGGCTAATGATGATCTTCTGTACGCTTAAATAATAAAATTGTTTTTTTCCTTTCTCCCTTAGGATAGCGATGTGTGCCCCAGGCATGTTATTACTGCCCTTAATAATGCGGCGAATAGAAAATAGACCTCTTATGGTGAGATTCAAATGGGCTCATGTCGGCGTACAGACCGCAGTAGTTGGCGTATTGTAAGTATATTTATGAATTGCATTATTTTTATAATTTTAATTTTTTAAGCATGTAACTGCTCGATGTTTAAATAGAAAATATTACTGGAGAAAATTCAATGTGGACAAGGCAGCAACGAGACTCGAACCCGCACCCTTCGCTATCCGTGTCTAGTTCTTTGCAAGGCAGCGTCATCTCTTCGCATTGTAGGTAACTTGGTTCGAGTCCTGTCTGCTGCCTGGTCCGCGTGGATTTTATTCTGTAATATATATATATATGTATATAATACACACTCTTCGTTGTACTAAACATTTTATTTTATAAAAACTCGTGTTACAATTAGTAATAATGGAAAAAATTGTTGGACGCAATCTCATATCAACCGCTCGTCATTATCGCACACAATTGTCTGTCTTCACGCGGTCACGTGGTTCACGCGGCGAATTCGTATCCGCCAATCACGAGCGAGGAACGCAAAGGCCGCTCTTTGGTAAGACCACAGATTAGCGCGTTACATATATATATATATATTACAGAAAAAAATCACACAAACATCTGCCCCCACCGGGATTCGAAGTCGAGACCTTTCGAGTTAGCGACACCAACAAAACGGTATAATTAAATAAAATAAAGTTTTACAGGAGCTGTATAAAACTGAATGACATACCAACAGTGAGCTTTTGGCATGGTTTTAAATTTTTATAAATTTCGTAATTTTAATACTGTTTTAGGTTGTTTTGATTGAAAATTATTTGATATTCAAATTTAACGGGCCCGAAACCTCCGGACTGTAAAAAAAGTAGTTTGACCAGATGCGTAGTTATACCGTTTTGTTCGCCAGCTCCTCATATATGAGATGAAATAATAATAAATTATTAGACTGTCAGTCCCGTAGTCTCGTATGAGGTGAATGAACTTTTGTATCGTTTCTCGTTGGCCGTACTTTATATGCTCTCTCTATTTTGATATAATAATAATAATAAATTTATTTATTTGCCCCAACATTTTTACATAGTTTAAACATAACAATTGTTTTCTTAATGCTCAATAGAAGCGACAATACTATTTAAAACGAAAACACAATAAAATAGCACTTACAATACACCAGTACCTAAACTAGGCCGAGCCTGTAAAATAGGTACTAGATCCTTCCTTTTTCACTAAATTAATATTGAAAGGATTTCATCTGTAATATTTTTAATTTTGTGCTTGTGGATTCTGCAAGAATTTCTGGTGACATTTTGATTAAATTGAAACTATACTAAAGAAGATATATAATTTATCTTTGATAGGGTTCATATAATAATTGTTTGTTGACAGTTTGACAGTAATGGTGCCCGTTGGATGCGCGTTGTTCCCTCAACGTTGGTAAGTGATCTTTGATGAATAATTAATTCATTGCTTAAGTGTTTTGTGGTGCTAATAATGAATTAATTTACGATACGAGCCAAAAGTATAAAAAGTGCACTTATCTCCCCTAAACAAGAAGCTTGGATAAGTTACTCGATGTTTTGTCTCAATTCATTGAACTACAAATGAGACACGAGTTATTTGAGAAAACACGGCGTACTAGTCTAAGACCCGTATTACAGAATGACAACTAAGTGTTGATCTTTACTTGAGTACAGTTAGAAAGGGATGTCGCTATGTGCTATATATAGCGACATCCCTTTCTAACTATGTTCAAGACTAGATCAATCACTGAGAATCTTTCTATAATAAGGGTCTAAGTTTATTCTTCGCTTATTAATAAGTAATTAGGTTGTATTAAATACAAAATTAAAGATATAATATCTTTAATTTTTACGCATACCACTCGTTGAATTAAACTATTTTTGAATGGGTTTAAAATCCGTTTTTGACGTGACAACGTCTTAAATTAGGTTGCGGCTGGGAGTCACTTATGAAAAAGTGTAACGCTCGGTAACGTTACGATGAGTTTAAGTTTACATGTACAATGTTTTAGTAAACAAAATATATTTCTATAGTTAAAATTTGTGCAATTCTTATTTTCATTCAATTCCTTGTTCCTATTGTGCAATTTAATTATATTCATATCAATAAATATTCTACCGAGAAAAAGACGTTGTCACGTAAAATCTTCGCCCGTAAAACCGACTTTACAGGCAACCATTTTTTTTTAATACTTTTTTTTACATAACTTTACGTTTCGCATCCTTTTCATGATGGGTTATGATAAATTTATACTTTATTTTTATATTTCGCAGTTATCAATAAATTGATATGAGACATTATGCAAAAGTAGAAAAAAAGCAATCTTCTTGTTTGTATATCCCGTTCATTCTTACAATATCATGTATTTTTTCACAGTAAACTGTCTATTGACACCGTCAAACGTTTTGAGCCGGAGAGATACGAGGAAATCGTTAAAAATACGGAGGGTAAACCACCCCAATACGTTTACTTTAACAAGGGTCTGTAAATGATGAACTAAAAATTTTAAAAAAAGTCATACATACATGTATATTTATTTGAAATTATTAGAGAAAAGTGACAAAAAAGCAAATAGGTCCATTAGAAGTCATTATGACACATGTCACTGCAATAAGAGTCTGTAATTTGTAAGTAAAAAATGGTAAATAATGATATTTATATGATATTCGAACCGCCAGTTTCAATAAATTTATCAATCTCCATTGAAAGATAAGCTTATTTTGGTTAAGTGCTGTTACAACAATTGTTAATTCTTATTGATAAGTTTAAAACAACAACTGTTAATTCTTATTAACTATATGATAACTAATTAATCATCAGTTTAAATCTAAAGAAAATATAACTAGAAAATAATTCACGCGGACCAGGCTGCAGACGGGACTGGAACCCACACCCTTCGCAATCCGGGCGAATGCACTGACAAATTATGCTACCGCGACCCTCACGGACCGCGTCGAAATTCTTCTAGCCATTCTTAAGATGCAAGGCAGCGCCATCTCTTCGCATTATAGGTAACCCACAATGTCAAATGAATACTTTTACAAGTATTAAACATTTGAAAGAAGAAATAGGTATTATAGTTCTAATTTTTATAATTATCAGTTGTTGTTTTAATCTAACTATCAATAATAGTTGTTACTGAAAATGACCGTAAACCTGAAACTAAAATGGATAGCAGTATATTCTTATCACGCTCCATAGAGAATGAAAGAGAAAGACTGCTGCAAAATTTTGTTTTATCTTGAGAAAATCGGGTGCATATACAGTCTAAGTTTTGTTACTCAGAGACGTCAATTAAGATAATTATAGATGGAAGATATTTCATAATAAATGACACGCATTATACAGTATATTTCATTTAAAATTATATTTTTTGTTAATCCAAAAGTGAGTGAAACCAGCTGCTCATATTTATTATATTATTAAAGCAAAAAAAAAAATGCGGGCGCCATTTTTTTAATTATAATTAAAAATTCATTGACGTCTCTGCGTGCGGTTGTTAGATTTTTAAGTACCTGGTACAAATGAAGATGAGAATTTCGCGAATATTTTGTTGTAATTTTATTAATATTATTGTATGTAGTAAATATATAAATAGGTCCAATTGCCAGTGTTACTAGTGTTAAATTAAATCTAGCTTTTGTAGATATAAAGTGCTTATTGAAAATGTGGATTATTGTGAGCGGAAATCGAATAGTCATTTGTAGGATTGTATGAAAAGGAATTCACTAATGGTCTTATATATAAAAAAAAACTAAGTATTAGTTATTTCTTCTCTTTATCCAGCCTCTTAGTTACAGTACAGATTAGTCATGCCATTTTGACACTTTAGCTTTGACTAGGATCGCGCAAAGATTTATAATTTTTCCATCAGCCCTTTTGAATCCCATCTCGGTAAAAGAAAACCAAGTTAGATAGAACGGTATTAAAATGAAAAGTTTTGTATGCACCCCGACAAACTTCTTAACCATCGACCATAGACAAGGTAGCATGCGCAGTAACAATTTTACATGCAAAAAAGTCTACTGCGTCTTCAATTTTATTTGTTTGTGGTTTTTCTCAAGATGTTTGCCGCTATCTTTATACCAAGTATAAGAATGGAAATACTTCATTGAATTCTGTATAGCTATTGCGCTTTCAGAAAGAACATGCCTTTTACTCTAATGCATTAATCGTACTACAGTATTAATAACTAAATTCTAAAGTATTCTCAGTTTGATCCTTAGCAAAAAAAGTATTTTATTTTGATTATTAGTTTTATTTTAGCTTATGTCCAGTCAAAGTGGTGTTTAAATCTTAGATTAAAACAAAAAGGGAAGATACAGTACGCTCATACTAGCACCAAATAAAATATGATCCGACTCAACTACAAGCACACGTCTGTAAATGAACATTCAATCGAGCGAGCGAGACAGAACTGTACGCTTCAACGCAGCGCGAGCGAAACGGCGAGTCCGCTACCGAGTCCGCAAGGCTGAGCTGTATTGTTGTCCTTTTCTTGATAACAAAATGGCGATTACATAAATAACATTTACGACAAACCGTGATTTTTGAGAAAATAATGATTTAACAGTTCTACACTTTTTAGGATTTGATTTTGAACTATAAGTGTTCTTTCTAAAAGCATAGTATATAGAAGATTAGTAGCATAAAAGGTATTGTTTTATCTTTATAACATAGAATATACGCAATATTGTTATATTGAGTGCACATGCAGCGTGTTTGAATGTCTCTGTCGCAATAGGGTATTTGACAGTATTAAAAATAAAGTGCCAATTGTTAGCATCTGTGTTTATAGTGAATATTGGCAGGGCTTTTTACTATTTTTCCAAAAAAAAAATTTTCATATTTTTACTAAAAACCCACAAAAAAGATAATAGTTTTCTTAGCTATTGTCACGTGACCCAAAACGCTTGGGATTGGCGGAGCCTAAAATGACGTCACACGCTAGTAAACATCCGGTTTAAGTGACATTGCATTGTATCGTTTGACCTTTTAATAACAGTTGTATGACGTCACACACTAGTAAGACGCCATATTGTCCAGAAAAACGTTTTCGCGGCAACTTGAAAATTGAGCTTTTGATTTGGTTATTTTTACTGAAATACACAACATAATGATGAATATCCATATTTTGACGGACTCCATAAACATTAGTCAATAACTTGAGATCGTTTTCTAAAACTTGTCAAATACCCTATGAATTGTGGTAATGCACCACAATTTAAGCGGATCACTATTAAGCCGCGAGTGCCGTATACTCCCTTTATGTTTTAATCTAAGGTTAAATTAAATACATTACTTGCAGTTTATGAAACTTTTGTTATATTAAATTTGTACTCATACCGCCTTATAACAAAGCGTAGACTAAAGTTAAACCTGGACTTAAACTGATGATGTCACTTTTTTTTGCTAAAAAGAAGACAGAGACAACATTAGGCTTAAACCAAGACTAATTTTAGTGCTCGGTTTGGAAGAAGGTGGATAAAGTTTTTATGAGGGTGTACTTAGCGTCAGCTCACCCCGAAACGCGACGCGACACTGCGCGCTGCACAGAACGACTCAATACATAACTTTATTTACTACGCGAAAAGATACACATTTCATGGTTTGAATTAGCCTTAGCACGAACCATTATCGAATACGAATAGTTTGCGAGTCCAAAATGTCATTGTCAAATTTTGTATGAAAAATTGAACAGCAGCGCCATAACGGACTTAACGAGAACTAAAAATCAGTACACATTTGACAATGACATTTTGTACTCACTATCGTTACGAATTCGATATTGGTTCGTGCTAAGGGTACAGATTACGCGTAGTGCAATGTATTCTGAATTCAAACAATGAAATGTGTATCTTTTCGCGTAGTAAATAAAGTTATGTTTTGAGTCGCTCTGTGCAGCGTGCAGCGTCGCGTCGCGTCTCGGTGTGAGCTGACGTCTATTTCTGTTCAATGCAAATATAGATTATATTATACGTTTATATGATTACGATATAGCTGTGTCGAATATTTTCATTTTATTTTTATTTATTTTTTTATCTTATTTGTTAATGATGTGAATTTTATAATTTATTATTCTCATATATAATGTTATTGATAATTGTCAAAAATGGAACATTCTGGTATTTTTAAATGCGCAATCTTCTTCATGTTGGTATTTTTAAGCATATATTTTTTTACTTATTTGTTTATTAATTAAATTAAGCTTATAAGTTTAAGGTTATATGTACAGTACAGCCATGCAAGTGATCTTAAACTGTGAAATGTCAAGCGATTTTCACTTTTAATTCGTATTTATGTTATATCACAAATCGATTGGGAGTTTTTTGATACTATAGAATACATTTACACGAATATAACTCTTGTTACGTTCTGAGGTATATATTAACTATTTGAGTAAAGGCAACCTTTTATCGCTGTACATATAAGGTCTGATATGTATATTATGTTTAACCAGTGTATTGTACATTCCACTGAATAATTGCAGCATTATAATTAATTTGTGTATAATCTATTAAAATTATGATATTGTAATTATAATTCTAATAGAGGAGCTCGATGGCGCTTTTGTTAAAGTTTTCGTAGTGGTCCGTCATTGGATGGGTGACCAAAATTTTGTATCTCGAGTTCCTCCGTGCTTTGGAAGGCACGTCAAGCTGTTGGTCCCGGCTGCATCTGCAGTCGTTAGCACCCACCAATGGGTCATGGCCCAATCTCCCTATTCCATCCACAGGGAAGGCCTGTGCCCCAGCAGTGAGGACATTAATAGGCTGATGATGATGATGAATAAATAATCGTGTGGCGATTTGCAGTTTTTTTTTATATTTTATCACAAAAAGTTAAGTTGTTAATTCTCCGTGTATTTTTTTATTGGTTTTTACATTGAATCAGTCTAAAGTCTACTAAACCTTTTAGACAAAAAAAAAAAGCTTCAAAATGCAATGCATGTTGGTTTACAAAATCTAAATGGAATATCCAACAATAGATTTCTTTAATTCAATATGTATAATAAAATCCTATATTCCAATTAAATATGTCTCATTGTTTATTTAAGTAAAATATAAAATTATTCGGATTCTGAAGTGGACTTGTAGATACTTAGCGTTTACATATTTTTTATCTACAATGCATTTCCATTTCAGTTACGGTACAAAGTATTGTGAGACGATTGTATTTTTAAGTAAAAATGTTACATTTCAATATTTTTTTTATATAACCACAATTGTAAAATATTTTAGTTGTGTCTGATATTGTATCAAAAATGGTATTCATTTAGAAAAAGACAGTAATGTTATTATAGCACATTTGAAGACAATAAAATAAATATGTACTATGCTGTGATTGGCTATTTTTATTATTTCAATATGATTTAATGCGTTAGTGGTTTATATGGAAAATAATTTAAAAAAATCGCACTAAAATCTGACGCTCAAATCGTGACGTGGCCTTGTAAAGTTACCCTCATCTGACGCTCAAATCGTGACGCGGCCTTGAAAATTTACCCTCATCTGACGCTCAAATCGTGACGTGGCCTTGTAAAGTTACCCTCATCTGACGCTCAAATCGTGACGCGGCCTTGTAAAGTTACCATCATCAAAGAAGTTTCACTTCAAAGAAACAAAATATGTTACGGAAACTTGCTAGAGTCTGTGCGGAAAGAGAATGGGCGTGGCGAAAAACGGAACTAACATTAAGATTTTTATTTGGCAATCAAACCCAGCAATCTGTAAAACGTTAAAGTTTTGTATTGATACGTATTTGTTTGTTGTTGTGATTTCTTGCTGTTTTTTGTATTTAATCATGTCTAAAAGGGGTAAAACCTTACAAATACGGTAGAAAAGCACTACAGCGCCCTCCAATCTAAATCCCATTCTCTTTCCGCACAGACTCTAGTACCGACGAAAACTTGTCATGGATGGAAGATTTTTATTTTCCCCTCTGGGTAAATAAATCTTCCATGTGGCCGTGACAGTAATTTTACTATCTCAAGTCCTCGCCTACAAAGGTAACATCTACCAATCTTCACCTGGCCTGCAGTTGTATTCTGTAATAACACACACTTTTCACTGTGGAATCCGCGGTGTGATTTGAAATTGGAATACGAATTTTAAATAAATTTTAAATTCACCGTAGGTTTTGCGGTGAAGTGTGTGTGAGGTTTTTATTTTTTTATAATGGTGTCGATTCTGGCACGATTCTCTAAACTTAAAACTAAATTTAAGATCAGTCTCTCTTTTCATTCGTTTCATTTCGTATAGAGAATGACAAGGATACACTGATGTCAAATTTAGGTTTAGAGCATCATTTCAGAATCGACACCTAGACAAGCAAATGATTCTACCTCACCTGATGTTAAGTGGTGATAAAGTCCAAACGCGAAGATAGCTAGACAGCAGTTATTTTGTTTTTAGAAGATAGCATTTCCTATTCCATCCTTATAAGGATGTCTATAGTACATAATACAGGATCCCAAATTTCCAAGACTGCCAGACCTCACTTATTTTCTCATGGACGAAATATGGATTATCTAGTAGTATTAGTGTGTACAACAAACGTATACATTCTTCTACTCTCGGGACGCACGACAGAAGTGATAATTTAAACGATAACTTAAGCGGCGCTGCAGGTTAGAGTGAGAGAAGAGGAGCCTGCGTACCGCATCCATATGCGTGAGGGGAAGGGAAGGCAGACAGACTGGCGCCGTAATGCGTTACGTAACGAAGTGGTTTACCCTTCAATACGAATATATCTTTTTAAGTGATAATTTCTTATGGAAGGCTAAACCGCTTGTCCAGGTTTCAGACGGGATTCGAACCCGCAACTACCGCTATCCTTTTCGGATTATTTTCTAGTATTTTTTTTAAATTAACTTGTAGTTGTCACAGTCTTCCTTTTTTACATAGGGTGAGAAAAAAGTTACTGTAACTTTGGGAATTTCATAAGAATGAAACAACTTTTTTTTTATATAAAAATCTGTATATTCGATGATTTCTTAATAAAACAATATTTTGAACTCGTGTGCTACAATAAAAGAGCTCCAACATTAAATATAAATATATTGAGTAAAATTTACAGTAATCTATATAATACAATGTAAATAAGGCACCGAGAATATATTAACATACAATGAGTATATATAACTGCAGTTCAATTGGCACCCAAATCCTATAGTCCAATTAAATAATCTTAAATTTTATAATAGTACTTTTTTATGTTGAATGAAGTACCTACTTATTACAATCTTGATAAATTTATTTACCCACTCACAGTGTATCTGACGCAAACCAAATATTAATTTGTTGTTATAATATATGAAATATTTAACGATTTTAATGCATTAAAGAAACCAAATCAAGTCATGGTACTGAAAATCGACGTACACACATTTCTATTAATTTAAATTTTAATGAAAAGTTTCAGTAACAAATAAGGTTTTTTTTCTATACATTGATTGCCCGGCAACATGTACAGTTTGAAAACAAAAAAAATATAAATAACATAAAAGCGGTCATTAATTTGACTCATTTCATCGGGTGGGATGTGAACGTAAATAAAGTTACAAATAACAATTAATTTAAATCAAGTCTTCCAGGTGCCTAAAAGATAACTAAGTTATGGACTAAGGCTAATAGATTTCCCGGATCACACGCGCACTTGATACTTAAATCGACACAATCATTGAAGTACACTTGATACTTTAACACAATCATTGAAGTACACTTGATACTTTAACACAATCATTGAAGTACACTTGATACTTTAACAGAATCATTGAAGTACACTTTATACTTTAACACGATCATTGTAGTAACAACACGTGGCATATAAAACAGGTCACCTATTCTAAAGCTTAGAAATTTACATAATCAGTTCAATAAACGCTGGCTTTTTCTAGAAGGACTGAGGCATCGCACATTGCTTTGGCTGTCGACCTTACTAAGAACATCAGATGAAGTTGTTCGAAAACATTTAGTTGAACTCTAGTTCTCACCAACCCATGTAAAACTGTTGCCCTTTCTAGGTCCAGCCATCTTTGAAGAGACAATTCTCTGTCATCAACCGGAACTCCTTGTACGACATCCAGAGGTCCCCATAACATGAATTCTAGAACAGATTTTGCGTGGTTCAGGGAAACGGCCCGTTCTTCGTGAAGAACTTCCTTTAGTAGTGGCGTTAGCTTCTCCCCTGGCAGTAAGATTTCGAGAGCTTTGATGGCGCATTTGCATAATGAGTCGAGGTGCCCTTCGTCCGAAGATTTGCTACAGTTGGCTTCTTCGCTCAATCTGTAATTAAGTAAAAATATTTCATATAATTCTGTTGCTGACTTAGAAACTTCTATTATCTGATGCTCTGCGTATATATTTATTAAGTGAGTGACTTCTATTATACTCATACCGAATGAAAGAAAAGATTTAAATAGTTATTATTTTTATTATTTTAAAGCATGTAACTGCTTGATGTTTAAATCTAAAGAAAATATAACTAGAAAAAATTCCACGCGGACCAGGCAGCAGACGGGACTCGAACCTATAATGCGAAGAGATGGCGCTGCCTTGCAGCTTAAGAATGGCTGGAAGAATTTCGACGCGGTCCGTGAGGGCCGCGGTAGCATAATTGGTCAGTGCATTCGCCCGGATTGCGAAGGGTGCGGGTTCGAGTCCCGTCTGCTGCCTGGTCCGCGTGGATTTTTTTCTAGTTATATTTTCTTTAGATTTAAATAGATTAAAACTATCGAGAGGGAGAAATTTTACTTTTACTTTGGCTTTGCTTTATTAGAAAGTAATTTCTTAAAATTGTGCACTCCAAATAAATCGGAAACTACCAAGTTGTCTTTAAAAAGGCATACTGAACCACTTATACGAAACAACGTTTTTAAAGCAAAATTAAGCTAAATTGGCAAAATAAATCTTTACCGTTGTCATCTGTTTTTCATCTTTCAAGAACTTTGGTTGGTGTAAGTAAACACAAAGAACCCACGGAGCATTTACAAACGCCATGAAAGAACCACACTCACCCTTGCAAAATACACAACCGCCCGTAGCTATTGGTTTTCGGTGCCCAGAGCGAGTTCAATCTATCATCTGGAGAAGGTAAATTCAGGGTGCTTCCATGCGAAGCTAGCGGTTGCATCTCCTTTAAAGCTATGAACGCTGTCAAAGTCTCAGGGATCTCTTCCACGCCCCTGGCTTGGAGGCACTTGAGTCCGTTTATGAGTTGCAACATCATGAATATGGCCTCGTGAATTTGTTCCGTCTGCACTAGTTGGTACTCTTTGGTGGTGAGTCCTTCTGTGGCGTGAAGGCTCTCGCCGTATGACTGGATGGTGTCGACTTGCGCGTGTGCCAGCACCACAATGGTTGCTGGAATGTTAAGGTACTTTGTCTTAGTTTTCATTGTTAGTGATTATTTGAAATAGGTGATAATTTGAAATATGTACCTAAATACATTTTTTAACAACCAGTTGATGTAATGCATTCATTATCTAGTGCACTGCTATCAAGACAGCAGTACAATTTTTTCGCCATCGATCCTGGGTTCGAATCCCGGGAAGAAGATTTATTTTTGTATTCGTTTAAAAGTTATGTTTGTTTTTGTACTTATATATCTGATATGTTATTTAGTTCCCATAATACAAACTCTTCTTAGTTTGGTACCAAATAATTGTTGCGAGTCGTCTAAAATTTAGTATTTTTAACTGTTATAAATTCCACTAGAACGAAACAGAGTTTGACCGGGTATAACGTTACTGTAACTGGTCTGAGTCTAACTAAACGATCTTGTTTGTTAGTCAAGAATTCGTGTTATTTATGTGTTGAATACATTATTTACAAAACGGAGTGGTTACACTGTCTATGTCATAGAGTGTAACCATTCCGTTTTGTAAATAAAGTCAAGAGTCTTATGATATTAGGTACATTTGGCATGACTGCATGATTATTCAAAGTAAAGTTTCCTTTATACAGCTATGTAGTAACTTTTGAATTGAATGATTTCAGGGATTTCATGTACCAAAAACAGCTCGAAGTGCATATTATGAAGACGCTGAACCCAGAGTAACATAAATTCCATCACAAGGAAGACGAATGAACAGATTGAGTGAATATGAGAGGATGAAATGTATGCAATAATGCAGGTGAGTGCAATCAAACCCAACCAAGTGCTACTTACTATATACTACTTAATATTTGAATGTTATATATATCTTTACCTTGAACTAAATCTTCTCCCTCTTCTCCGAAATGTAGTTTAGGTACAAGGTCACAGAACTCGGTGATGGCATTCAAACTGAGGGTTTGCGGCTGCACCGACTGCTGACATATCATTTGTGATGCCATCTGCTCTTTGTACAACATCAGGGTCACATTCACTGGCCCTTGATTCGAGTTCCATATTGCCTGGTGGAAGATTCTCTTTCCAGCTTTTACAAGGTTATGTTTATGGCTGGATTGAATGGAGAAATCGTTCCACCGAAGATTGGTGCAAGCTTTCAGTCCTCGGAGCGAAGGCTGCATTGTAGCACTTTGTTGAACCTAGAATTTGACGAAAATCATCATTGCTATGTCCTATTATGTACACCTTTGTGTTCATATCCTTTGAAAATATCAATGTTCAAAGGAATACAATAGAACGGTTTTAAATTTCAAATCACTAGCGTTTACCATGCCAAATAGGAATGAGCGAAGTTATTTATACAATGGAAACAGATTTCCATAAAGTCACGGGTGAATAAACTGCAATGGAATTGGATATGTTTGTCGAGACTAATAATAGATCTGTACGACTGGAAGTTATAAAGCTTAGAAAAACATACCGTGCAAGGTACGAAGTTAGACAAATTACCTGTTCTAAAACCTGCGCAAGCGCTTCGTGATTCGCAATAACGACGGCACCATAATTATCCTCCAGATTTCTATGCACGACGCTGCGTCCCTTTCGCACTCGCAGTTTATTCGTGGTGTTTTTCGGTGTCATCTCATTTTGGTAATCCTCGTTGTTAGGACTGTCCATATTGTCGTTTGAGCTATAGAAACTGTACGGAGAATATATCTCGGACTCTGTTTCACTGCCGCAGTAAGGTAGTGAGGATCTGTTAAAAATTCCGTTGTTGTATTTAGGGTATTCAGTGGTCTCGGCGGTTTTTCTGACTTCGCATCTGGTCTCGGCTTCGTCGGTTTTGATTGCTGCGTCACATTCCGGTGAGCTTGAGTGCGCGTGATGGACATATTCGTAATCACTGTCGCTGTTTTTAGCCGAGTCGCTTGTCTCTTCCTCATATTTAGCGGAGTTGTATACATCATCATAGTTGTGTATGACGGCGTCATTGGTGGCTTGCACCAGCTCCTGTGGTCCATCGTCGACTTCATCTTTGTCGTCATCGATGGACGTTCTTCGTTTAGGCAGCTCTAAATGGGCTTCGCGTTCCCTCATACTGGCTGTTCGTTCAGGTTTCCGTGGCGCCAATGCTGACCTTATTTCTCCTTTAACATAAAACAAAAAGATTTAAGAATTATGGAAATTATAATTTGGCCTAATATAAAGAAATGATCTCTTACATTTTATCAAATAGGTAAATTACATTTAGGCTTCATGTATACAAAACAGGTAGCGCAATTAATTTAGGCTAGAGTAAATTTTATGAGCTGGAAATCAAAGAAATGACGAATGTAAATAATGAAACAAATGTAACGTAACAAAAATATTGGTTGCTTACCTAAATTAGCATAAATATTGTCTCCTTTATTTGGTGGCGTCCATGTTTGCTGCTTTTGTTGTTTTTGTAGAACTGCTGATTTCGGCGGCGGAGGCCTCGCAGGTTTTGGCACATTTGAAATAGCTTTGTAATCTTCGCTTGAATGTCTCGGCGGTGGAGGTGGTTTATTTATAATTTTTGGCATTTCTACCTCCGTGGAACTACCACTGTATATTGATGACACATCGTCGTGACTTATTCTTCGCAGGTTGTCGGAGATTTCACAATTCGACTTCACAACTTCTACATTCGACCCGTTTATGTCTAAAGGATGTATGATGACAAGGCGAGGTTTAGGTTTCGGTGCCAAATCGTATATTTCATCACTTTTGGGGACAACTTTCGTAACGGTCGCCACACTCAATTCCTTTTTATCAAGTTCTTTCGATGAACCTATTCGAAGTAACTTTTTTATTGAAAATTTGAGCTTTCCTTTCCGCTTCTCATCTAAAAGCAGGTTGTCATGAGATAGAGAAATGTTTCTTCTAGGTGCTGGTTCCGGTATGACGTCAACTTTTTTAACTTCTATCACATCATCCTGCATAGATCTTTGCTTAGGAGCTGCTGATATAGAAGCTCTTTCTCTCTTCTCCATTTCTCTTACAACTGGTGAATCGGATTTCATAAAGCCATTAGTGTTTCTTTGGTACAAATTATTTGAGTATTCTTCTACTGATGGAGACATCGGAGGTGTTGGAGCTTTCCGTTTACTTAAACTATTTAGAGAAGTGTCACTATCTTGTTTCGTTAACACTGGTTTTGCATAATAAATAGGTTCTGGTTTATCTTCATGTATTTCGTTAATTTCGTTATTTTTTTCTTCGCTGTTGGCTCTTGTAAGTTCTTCATCTCTTTTTATATTATTTTGTAAATGCATTGTTAAATGTTGTTGGTGTGTCGAAGTAGAATTTTTCTTAGTAGTCTGCTTAATAACAGGCTTGGCAGGAAGTTTCGGTTTTTCGGGCAAAGCTGGCTTGGAAGCAGGCATTATGTCTGTAATCATGCCATGCAAAAATGATGGACGGGGATCCATTGTGGGTATCGGACTCTTCGGCAAAGCCGGAGCTTCTGACGTATCGTCTGGATCTGCCCGACCATCTGGTTCACCAGCTAGTTCACGACTGGCTTCAGGTGTAAACATATTTTCTGGTTGCTTTGGTATTATTACGGGCATATCCATTATTGGAGTTTGGAAAGTTGAATATCCACCATTTGACTGCCCGTCTATTTTGCGCAGTTGGCCCATAGGTGATAGCTTAATGTTTTTATCACTTTCGTTGAATACTTTTATCTTAACGGTTTCTTCACTTTTATTTGATTCTGAAAAATGCCCACTGTCATCATTATCTGAGTCAGTCCGCCCACTAAAACTTTCGTCGTCGGATGCCAAGGAGTTATTTGTAGTCGAGTTCAAAGTGCTTACAGCTGAGTCCACGCTACTACTCTCTATATTGATTTTACAGAATTTGAACTCTGATCTACTTAAATTAACTTTAGGCCGGTCTTGTGTTTTGGCTAAAGGAGATTTTCTTACGATTCCGTTTTTTTTCGTTTCAGTCATTTCTTTTTTATCTACTTCGTCTTGCATACTCTCTTTTATTTTCTCTTCTACAACCATAGGTTTGATGTTATTTTTTTGTGACAAACCTAATTCAGATCCATTACCTAGCCTATTTTGCTTTAAAGTTTCTGATATTTCTTCTAATAATGACTTTTCAGTACAAATAGTACCAGTCGATCCTTCGGGGCAAATAATCGTCTCCGTTTCTTTAACATAGGTTGATAATATTATGTTGGTTTTATAATTATTTGTCTCCTCTGAGGGTTGTTCTGCAACTTGTATGACAGCGGCGGGTTTGCGAATATGGGACTTAACAGTAGGATTTTTATTATCCTGTCCAAATGGAGTAACTGATACTAGCAGAGTTTTCTTTTTACCATCTGAATCAGTCTGCATCTTACCTAGCATCAATGAAGTGTAAGACTTACTTACAGAATCTCCCAGCAAATTAGCTTTCACAGTATTAAAATCTGTATTCGATTTTGTAATTTTATGAAGCTCTCTCTCCTCTTCTGTTTCTGGAAATGTGTCATCGTCCTCATTATCTTCTGAGACTTCGAATTCTTCTCCGTCAGACCAATCATCTCCTCCGTAACCTATGACACTGCATACCTCTTCTGGAAATCGAACATTACGTTTGTTTTTCTTTTTGGATTGAATTTTGAGTATGCTCTGTGGCGTTTTCTTGAAGAAAGTGCTTCTGTTCTGGAAAGGTGTGGCGAGGTACTTGCTGCCTTCACTTGTTTTCTCGTGTTTGACATGTTCCTCGCGAGACTTGAAGCAATTCGAGCAGAAGTCCTTCTTCCATGCATTCTGGACAAAATTGTGGCAAACTGGCGACATCTTGCCCTTCGAGTACCGTCGGTTGATCACATAACTGGCATTCTGAAAAGAGGAGAAAAATATTCACTTATTATTCAGGATTTCATGTTTAAGTTAAAAAGGAAGTAATCTTAATTACATAATATATTCCTTATTCCGTTCGTCCGTGTACAAGTTACCAATATAGCTTAATTATAAATCGCTAAACTAAGCCTTGCGTTAGCATGGAATAATAAAATTTTAACTCCTTTTTCAAGTTATGCAATACAATCAACTGTCCCTAGTTACAAAATAAGCTGGTGAGTAAAATGCTATCCACATATTATTTGTAATTCTAAACCGATGTTAGTATGAATGTAAAAACGCGAAATTAATACAGTACGTGAATGCTTATATAAATTGTTAAACGTTTGTGATCTCCTTTCGTGTAGATATTATGTTATGCGTTACGTACCTACTTATATTTTGTTTGTACCTTACCATACCACACCCAAGTATTGCAATAAAATCAAGTATCTTGAATGCTAACATTCGTATTCATTGATTTCGTGCTCTGAGAAATAATTACAAATTGTTGTTTAATTACAAAATCTCATGTATAATTTTAGATGTTTTTGAGATAATTTGTGAATTATCTGAAGTTTAATATTACTAACACCAAGAAGAGAATAAATGTAAAAAGACTCTTAATATAAACGTTTACTGAATTTTTTCGAATTTTGAGATTTCTATTTCCCTAGGTTAGCTGGATTTGGCTAAATTGATATGTTGCGAAAGGTATTCGAGTATTTATTAAATTAATTCAAATTCCGCTTCTGAGTATTGCTTGTTACCGATTCTGTTAATATGACAAACAGACGACGTACAGGCATACTTTCTAAACGGTGCTACTGTAGCGCATGTGCTGATCAGATATTCATATGGCGAATGGAAATTGAAACTAGAAATGTGCTCATGGCTGGTGAAACTACAAGGGACATGAATTTGCCATTTATAGATTCATGAGGCAACTTTTTGAATGAGGAAGTAGGAGGTTCCTATAAAAGATATCACCTGATAGATCGTCTTGTTGATACTATCACTTTGTTTGCCATAAGAGTACCTAAGGTAGATTTAGACAAAGCATGTAATGAAGTAATACATTTATTTGATGTTTTGAGTGTGATCGTTATTAACACTTTAAACGTCTTACTTTGATCAGAATCAGAAACAAAAGTTAATTTACTTAAAAGTATCCCAGTAAAGGTAAATATTTCTTTATGATATTAAGTTTCATGATGTCCTCTTTTGTAATGCATTCGGTTAACTTTAATTAAGGAAGCACCAGAAGAATTTGAATTATCATCGATGCTTGTATATTGTTTTCTTGTCTCTGTATATTTTGTTGGTCGTCCGTCAACAAAATACACAGAGAGAAAAAAAAAATATACAAGCATGCGTGCTGCTATGGCTTGGCAAGGATTTAGACATTGACCAAATCAAATTTTTATTGCAGACCAAGTGTACGGGAGAAAATTGCCATATGAATATTAATATGTATGGACGTTGTGCTTGTACAAGGAAAGTGTAGCTCATGTGTGGTTTCAAATTGACATTGACAGCTTAGACAAATTAACCCTTATCACGTTGCAATAAACTTGATTACCGTAGTAGTTAAGAAAGAAATAATTGATTTATCTTTTAATAAGTTTAAACTGTGTATCAAACTTGTCTACTTAAGAAGGGTTACTATACTGTTAAAGATTTCTTAAATTATAAGGCACCTTGAGCTTAATATAATAGACTAAGGGCCGATTTTTCAAAACTCGTATAGAACATATATGTTCAATAAATGAATACTCAAACAAATACAGAGAGATGTCATTCGTCACATTACACCAATTAACACAAGTCAACTCTTTATTTTGTCCATTATGATTATATAATATGATTTCAGATACATAAATTTTATCCAGTCTTCGAGAAATCAACCCTAAGTAGTTATACTTTGCTGATTTGGTTGAAAAATGTTTAATCGGCACTTCTAAATTAAAAAAAGAACAGTACCTAGCTATACTTCACTTATTGTTAATTAATAATATGAATTTGATGAAAGTTGACATCAATATATGTTTTCAGTTTCATGAAACAAAACAGGGAGAAAAAAATAGCCCTTGCTGACTTTCTTGTCGGTTCTTCTCAGTACAAGGTCTCCCGCCGTAGATTTACGAACCGATGGGACGTAGCGTTTGACTTTCACAAGAGCTTGTAACAGCCTAGACTGAATAAATGAGTTTAAATTTGAATTAGTACTGTTTATAGTACTGACAAGAGTGATCTTGTTAATTGTTGTTATCATTCATTCTGTATTTACTATTGATTCGTGTTAATATATTTACAATGCGCCTGATTAAGGACAAGTAGACAACTATGTCTACAAGAATGGCCGAGTTAATAAAATAATATTAACACACTATCAATCAATTACATTTTCCTGATTTGATTTGGAAGGAAATATTTAAAGAAAAATTCAATTCATTCAAACTGTGGGTGAGGTAAGAAGTTCTTCAATAAATAAAACAAGGTTCAACAGTATAGATGCATTGATTTATTTATTTATTGACATTTCGCATCCTTTTCAGGCTGCGTCGTCAGGATTTAATGAGTGGTGTGCGTAAAGCCTTCGAAACAAATAGTTCTTCAATATTTGCAGATCCGTTGATTTTTAGACCTTAAACCAACGTTAAATTATCGAATAATAAGCAAAAACATCTGTATTCAATAAATACATTAAAACGTCGAACAGTAAATATCTCGCTTGTGTTAAAACCCTGAATTGATATAACGGATCATTGAACATCTTTTGTACAAAGTAATCGAATACAATGAGCCATTCTGGCATTTCGTGGCTTTCAGCGGGTATTTTAAAGTTCCGTGATGCTAGCAATAAAAATATGGACAGTCACTGTGCAGCTGTTAAGTTTTGACGGTCATATTCCGCTGGTGTTATTGCGTTGTGGGTTATCCAACGTTAACTATAGTTCTTTCATTTGTGTTATATCACGAAGCTGTTTTGTTACAGTGCATTGTTTGGGTAGAGTTTGTTTTCATATTGGTTCTTTAATAGTTGCATCTTTCAATTTCTCTCGTTTGTTGCATTTTTCTCTTCGTATTCTTCTGCTCCTGTCCTGTTATTTGGTAGGTATTTTTTTTAAAGACGCTTTTTTTGGCATTGATTGGGACCGAAATCCCAGAATTTGAAAAAATACTGGACGGTGGAGGATTGTTATAGTTATAGCTAAGTAATTTTCCTTCAGCGTCTGCATTAAGGATAGTGACTGATTTCTTTCTTCGTCTATCTGGTAGATTATTAAAAAGTATTGGACACGTTATTTTCACCCAATCAATACATTACAATGATATATGATTAAGCCCTTGCTGAGTTTCTTGCCGGTTCTTCTCAGTACAAGGTCTCCCGCAGTAGATTTACGAACCGATGGCATAGCTTCTAGATATTCATGAATGCTTGTAACAGCCTAAACTGAATTAATTATTTTGATTATGATTATTATATATTGATATGAAATGTTGCGGCGTCACGTCTTGGTACAATTTTTTCTTTATAGTGACGTTACGAGTCTAATAAACTTTGACATGCTTTATCTTTGTAATCTTTTGGTTGATTGACACGTGTTCATAATTTTTTGGTAGTCTTAACTGATGGACATAATAAAATTTCGTTTATTTTACCCCGTCATTATCCGTATTCTCTCATCGTATCAATGTATTCAACTCAATTGTTAACGGGATGAATAACAATTTCTTGTGATAACTACTAAAGCAAGAAAAACATTTTATTGGCCTCCACAGCATGAATATAAAAAAAACAATAAAAAACTAGGTATCAAATATTTGCTTCTATATTGCTCGATTGCACTGTGACTAGCTTGAGCTGTATAAAACTAAATGACATACCTACAGTAAGCTTATGGCATGGTTTTTACTATATAAATTTAGTATTTTTTAACTTATTCCTTAACCTTTACCGAGCCCAAGTTCGCTCCTGCTTGGAGTACTGTTGTCACCTTTGGGACGGATCTGCTCGGTATCAGCTGGATGCACTGGACTCGGTGGAACACCGTGCGAAGAGACTCATAGGCAATGACGCTCTCGTTGAGGCTAATCTTCAGAGCCTCGACCACCGAAGACGTGTAGCTTGCCTTTCGGTGTTTTATCGGTTACATTTCGGAGAGTGTGCGGAGGTATTACATAATTTGATCCCCCCTTCGGCGCGGCGAGGGCTTCCACCCTTATGTTGTCGAAGTTCCTCCTATTCGCACGAAGCGATTTGCTTCGGCCTTCATTATACGAACGGCTAGGGAGTGGAACTCCTTGCCGAGGTCTGTTTTCCCGGACCAATATAACCTGGTCATCTTCAAGGCCAGAGTGAACAGGCATCTTCTAGGCAGGCGTGTACCATCCTAGGCCTCATCATCGCTTTCCATCAGGTGAGATTGTGGTCAAACGCATTGCCTATTTAGCATAAAAAAAAAAAAAAAAAAAAAAAAAAAAACACTGTTTTAGGCGGTTTTGATTGAAAATTATTTGAGATTCATATTCAACGGGCCCGGAACCTTCGGACTGTAAAAAAAAGTAGTTTGACCAGATGCGTAATGACCGAGCGTTTTGTTCGCCAACTCCTCAATTGGTAATGTATAAGCGTCTACTGCAAAATAACTTAAGCATACAATTCGCATTTTGCTCAATAAACCCACAAATTGTTGCGAAACGCCGCGCCGCCGCCATGCCAGTCAATTTACGCGGCGCATGCTTCGCGTTGTGTGCACAATCATTGTGCTTACTCATCGACTAAACTGCATTCAGTGTCGCAACGTCTTGATCGAGGTCAAACAGCCTGAGGATCGCTAATGGGAAATTCGCGAACAAACCGCAACAGGAATTCAAATCTAAAGAAAATCTTACTAGAAAAAACTCCACTATCCGGCTAGATATAAAATGCTATCCGGGCGGATGCACTGACCAATTATGCTACCACGACCTTCTTTTTTCGAGTATGTATGCTG